ACAGAGACAGGAGACGTATCTGTAATATTGTTAAGCAAGCAAAGCAGGAAGGGGAATTGGATGTACTTGTCCATCTAGGGACAAATGACTTGGCTTGCAATGAGGTTTCAGAGGTTAAGGAAATTTTTAGTGTTTCTGCCAATGATATACGGCAGGTTGCTTCCACACGGTCATTCTCTGAAGTTCTGCCTGTGCATAACACTCAGAACGACAGGCGGATGCGTGTTAGGGACTTTAATTTGTGGCTTGGTGAATGGTGTCGGGAGCAAGGATTTGGCTTTATTTCTCATGGTAGGTCTGTTTGGAATGGAGATAAACTGTACAAAAAAGATGGTTTTGCCTCTTTCTCAAAAGGGAACAAATGTTCTCAGTGAGCAGTTCAGAGGTTTTGCTAGGATGTATTTAAACTAGGAGGGGGGGGGAAGGGTGATAAAACATCAATCCAATTGTCCCCCAAAACAAGGACAGAAGGTGCCTGTGTTAAAAAATTATAAGCTTAGAGTCATGTCTACAAATGCTCGCAGTTTAGGGAATAAGATCCATGAACTTGTGGCAAGTTAGATTAAAAACAAAAGAAGGAAGGTATGTAGAAGAGGATAAAGGTCTAGCTGACTGCCTCAATGAATATTTTTGTTCTGTATTTACAGAAGAAAATGAAGGAAAGGGACCTCAGTTGAGAAAAAGGATAAATGAGTCATTTATTACACATGAGTTTACAGAGGAAGAGGTTCTATTTCAACTCTCAAAAGTAAAGACAAATAAGTCAATGGGACTTGATGGAATACACCCAAAGCTATTAAAAGAGCTTAGTGGTGTACTAGCAAAACCATTAACAGATTTATTTAACCAATCATTGTTAACAGGAGTAGTCCCAGAAGATTGGAAGTTAGCGAATGTTGTGCCCATTTACAAGAAAGGTAATAGGGAGGAGTCGGGCAACTATAGGCCAGTAAGCCTTACTTCAGTAGTGGGGAAAGTGATGGAAACCATGTTAAAGGATAGGATTGATGAACATCTAAAAACACATGGATTTCAAGATCAGAGACAACATGGGTTTACTTCAGGGAGATCATGCCAAACTAATCTTATTGATTTTTTTGATTGGGTAACTAAAATTATAGATCAGGGTGGTGCAGTAGACATTGCTTACCTAGATTTCAGTAAGGCTTTTGACACTGTTGCACATAGAAGGCTTATCAATAAACTGCAATCTTTAAAGGACCACTATAGTGCCAGGAAAACACACCCTCCCGCCCGGCTCTGGAAAGGGGAAAAGGGGTAATACTTACCTTTTTCCAGCGCTGGGCGGGGAGCTCTCCTCCTCCCCGTCGGCTGAATGCGCACGCGCGGCAAGAGCTGCGCAAATTCAGCCTGTCACATAGGAAAGCATTCATAATGCTTTCCTATGGACGCTGGCGTGCTCTCACTGTGAAAATCACAGTGAGAAGCACGCAAGCGCCTCTAGCGGCTGTCAATGAGACAGCCGCTAGAGGAAATAGAGGAAGGCTTAACCCATTCATAAACATGGCAGTTTCTCTGAAACTGCTATGTTTATGAAAAAATGGGTTAACCCTAGCTGGACCAGGCACCCAGACCACTTCATTAAGCTGAAGTGGTCTGGGTGCCTAGAGTGGTCCTTTAAGTTTGGATTCAAATATTGTTGAATGGGTAAGGCAGTGGCTGAGTGACAGGCAACAGAGGGTTGTAGTTAATGGAATATATTTGAAGCTTGGAGTATTGTACACAATACTGGAGACCGTATCTTCAGAAGGATATTGATACCTTAGAGAGGGTTCAGAGAAGGGCTACTAAACTGGTTCATGGATTGCGGGATAAAACTTACCAGGAAAGGTTAAGGATCTTAACATGTATAGCTTGGAGGAAAGACGAGACAGGGGGGATATGATAGAAACATTTAAATATATAAAGGGAATCAACACAGTAAAGGAGGAGACTATATTTAAAAGAAGAAAAACTACCACAACAAGAGGACCTAGTCTTAAATTAGAGGGACAAAGGTTTAAAAATAATACCAGGAAGTATTACTTTACTGAGAGGGTAGTGGATGCATGGAATAGCCTTCCAGCTGAAGTGGTAGAGGTTAACACAGTAAAGAGTTTAAGCATGCGTGGGATAGGCATAAGGCTATCCTAACTATAAGATAAGGCTAGGGACTAATGAAAGTATTTAGAAAATTGGGCAGACTAGATGGGCCGAATGGTTCTTATCTGCCATCACATTCTATGTTTCTATATATGGTAATTCCTTTGTAGGCCGTAGGCCAGTCTTTCAGTCTCCTGCTAGCATTGAGTATTGCTTCTTTAGCATGGTAATAGTGCATCGTAGCAGGATGTCTCTTGGAGTGTCTGTTGGCAGGAATTTTGGTTTGGCGGTTCTGTGGATTCTATCCAGCAGGAGCAAGTCCTGTGGCAGGTCTGGAGCCAGTTCCTTCAGCAGGCCTGTGACGTGGGCGGTGAGGTCTTCCGTTTTTAGCTCTTCCGCAACTCCACGTACTCGTAGGTTGTTACGGCGTGCCCGGTCCTCCATATCCGCAATTTTGAGGTCCTGGTTGTCCAGTCTTATTACCAAACCCTCCACCGTGTCCACTAGGGAATTGTGGGCCTCTGCCATTTCCGAGAGTTGATCCTCTGTGTGTGATGTGCGTTGGCCTATGTCTTGTAGTTCTTTTCTTAGATCTTTGATAGCGCTGTCCATCTTCTCCACAATCTTGTCGGACATCTCATGAATCTTTTTCAAAGTGCTGTGGGTCAGTGGATTGTCATTTTCGTTTTCGCCAGGCTGGGTCTCTGTTTCCAGCTCCCCTCCAGCGCCATCTTGTGAGTGTTCTGCCTGGTTTGAGGCCTTCAAACCAGGCGAGAGGGGACGCAAAGAAGCTGCTTCTTTCTCCCCTCTCGCCGGTCCTCTTGCTTTTGGGTTGGGACATTGTGGCTGCAGGCGGGATCTGGACCTGATCTGAGGCTTTAGCGTGCTGTTTATGACTCCTTTTTAGCCGTCGCGGCACAGAGCTCTAGCTACATGCGGCTGCTCCGGTCCGCGTCCAGGACACGGCCCAAATGGGAACATATTTGTATTGATCAGCCCATTAGGGATGAGAAGTTTCTTACAAATAATGAGAAATTCTCTGGTCAATCTTTACCGCCGAGGGCTTTTTAGAGTCCCAGGTTTAGTTTTTAGTACAGTGAAGAATCTCCTCATATCACCAAACATTGTACAGAAATAGCTTCAGGTTTTGGGTTTGGATAATTCCTTTGCACAGTCAGGAAGGCCCAGAATTTAGACTCTTGTTGCTCCTATTAAGGTGAATTAGTGATCGTAAATTCAATTCATTTTGGCTTCACTTTAAAGACTACGTTGCATTCCACCAAAAAGAACAAAGAATACATTTTATATACAGTTTATTAACTGGGCTCTTGGATTTCATGCTTAAGATGTCAGATACAGTATGTCAGGAATTAAGAGACACAATTACAGAGCAGAACCTGGATATTTCCACTAAGTACATAGGGAAATCTCTTCATTGTTTTTCAGGGTTACACGAAAATTTGGAAAGCTATGCTAAAACCAGCAGTAGTCTATTTAAAGGGACACTATAGTCACCAGAACAACTACAGCTTAATGTAGCTGTATAATCATTGCCTTCAGGCATTTTTTTTTTTTTAAATACAAACACTGCCTGTTCAGAGAAGAGGCAGTGATTACATTGCCCCCTTTGGCCACTGGAGAGGTTTCCTGGGGCAGTGCTGCACTGCCATTCAGCATCTCCACACTCTGCATTGAGACACTGCATTTACCTCATAGAGATTCATTGACTCAGTTGAGTAGGTGCCGATTGGTCAAAACAGCATTTGGCCCCGCCCCATCCAGATTTCAGCCAATCCAATGGTTTCCCAATGGGAAGGCATTGGATTGGCAAAAAAAATAATCCGCAGTTTTGATGTCACCAAGGAGGCGGATTGGGGGCAGTGCCAGAATCGGCAGACCCACCCGGCGCTGGAAATAAGTGAGTTTTCACCTTTTCTAAGTAAGCTACGGGGGGCAGGCCACCTAAATGGTGGATTAAACACTATAGGGTCAGGAATACAGGTTTGTGTTCCTGACACTATAGTGTTCCTTTAATACTTACTCATTAAGATTGTGCACATTGCCTTGATGTCTTACCCAGTAGTATTCTATTATACTTGACTTTCTATGAACTACCTTGTCTGTGCTTTTAGTACCGATATGTAGACAGGAAGAGGGTGAGTATTCCAGCTAACTTATTGACAGCATTTGGAGACGGCCCTATGTAAAAAAAAAAAAAAAAAAAAATAATAATAAAAAAAAAAAAAAACAAACAAACATGGCATTCTCCAGAATAAAAGATTTTAAAATGGGAAATGACACCTCTCTGGTTTACACCATTACATAAAATACTGAAGAGCATGAGATGGTTCTGTTTTCTTTAAAAAACAAAACATTAAAGCTTTATTAAATGCCATCATAATCCAGTTCAGACAAGGCACAGCCAGGGCACACAATGCAAATGAAGAGATGGAATAGTAACATTGTTTCATTTCTCCTCCTCTCTGTATGCTCTCCATGCCAAATGCCAGGTGTGGAGGGTGTAACAATGATAAACAGGGAGCTAAAATGGAGATGCCCAGTTACAAGATGGTGGAGAGTTGTGGGATTCTACATGTAATTACATTTTTACACCGCACCACAACATTTTTGTTAAATATAATGAATGAGACAGAATATTAAAAATACAGAGAATGGACAGTTTTTCCTTTAAATACGAAAGGCTGCAGGGACAGGGCCTTTGCACCACAATCCCTTTAGTACAATAGTAGTTATGGTTCTTAAAGGGACTCTTAAGCCACCTGATTTCATACGTGAACATCCCAAACCAATATATGTCAACATTACACAACACATGTGGGAAAACTGTAAAAATGGAGTGAAAAGTATAAAGATTAAACAAAACACAAAATTCTTTGCTATTTTTAAAATAGTATTTATTAGCTTTCAATGTGAGCAAGGTTAATTATTTTATATATATATATATATTTATATTTATAGAAAAGTCACCCCGGGATGAATGGCTGAAGGGGGACACTGAGGGTACACAGAGACAAGAATGGTCTTGACGTGTATGCAAGCAGCAAGATATGATCCATACTATAGTGATACATTGTGATATAGAATTATACAGGGCACTTGCTATATAGAGATGTGGCTGCACAGCATATAGGGAGTGACACCACTCTATATTATTCCACCTAGAATGGCGTGCACGTGGACCCTTACAGATTATGTGGCATCACACAACTCTTCCGACAGGTAATATTCTGAAACCACAACAATTGAACCAAGCATAACTTGTGCATGATAAACTCCTCTGGCAGCCTTGTGTGAGCAGTGCAATATGGTTAGAAGCAACGCCACCGGCCAGGACAATCAGAGCACCGGTGCTGTATGGTTAGAAGCAACGCCATCGGCCAGGACAATCAGAGCAGTGAAAGCAAAGATCTACTGCTGAGGCATAGTTCTCCCATGTGACGACATGCAAAGACAGCTCGTAAACACTTTGGTATTGACGAGAGACAGGAGAAAGCGCATATCAATCCCAGCTTAGTGAATCCGGTCCTCCAGGTATAATCAGACATTTTAGTTCCATTAGTCTGCATGCTTAGCAATGTATGTGCAAATCAATCTGTGTCCTTTTGTTATATGTACCTGGCTGCACACTATGCGTGTTTGTAGAAGATCATGCAATTGTTGGAGAACACTCTCTCTTGCTGGAGTAGGTAATTAAGACAGTTCACTTTTTCTGGAAGGCACTTGGCAAACCATAATGGCTAATGTTTAGGCTAAGGCCACCATTGGTGATTGCGTAGCTGTGGTTTTGCATATCTGGTTGAATATTTTTGCCAAGTTGTGTAGAGAAGGAAACCTGTTACTTCTCCTGCATTTTCTCCAGGATGGGAACAATCATATCAAACTTGGGTCGCTTGGCTGGGTCCTCATTCATACAGATCTTCATCAGTTTGCAGATATGTGGTGAGATACCAGGGGGTATTGTGGGACGGAGGCCTTCCAGGGACACCTGTAAAACATCCCAACATAATTACTTGCCTTAGTCAGTGCAACCCAATGGAGATGGATTCAGCAGTCTGGGCCACACTTGGGTGGCAGAGATCAGCTATTTGGGTCATAGGGACCGAATGTGTCAGTTTGGGGCATCAATAGGAGACATTGAAGTATTAATTTACTGAAAAAGTTGTGTTCCATAGTGGAGAGGTACTGGTAGTCTGGGTCATTCCTTTGGGAAAGGATTTATTCACCAGATAACTCCATCCATATGGGACAAAGATAACCAGCCACAGAATCCCAATGTGACATGATTGACTAATCACAGCATTACGGCCCCAGCATCAATGAAAACATCGCATGTTCAATAATAAGAAAATAAAAGTCCGTTCTCTGTCACTCACCTTCATGCCAATCTCCATGTTTGAAAGGTCAGCAAAGGGAACTTCACGTGTTACTAGCTCCCAGAGAAGAACTGCAAAGCTCCACATGTCAGCCGAACGGCGATTAATGTCTTCAGGACGCTTCTGGAGAGCTGAGAAAGATCAATTCTGGGGGTTAATGCATTAAATCGTAAATAGTAGGTTAGAGATTACTCCTTATGCAGATACTCTTACCCCAGTACGGCATTAACACCTCGCAGACACCAACCCCATCCCCGCATTCACACCTCACAGACACCAACCCCATCGCCGCATTCACACCAGTCACCAACCCCATCCCCACATTCACACCTCACAGACACCAACCCCAGCCCCGCATTCACACCTCACAGACACCAACCCCAGCCCCGCATTCACACCTCACAGACACCAACCCCAGCCCCGCATTCACACCTCACAGACACCAACCCCAGCCCCGCATTCACACCTCACAGACACCAACCCCAGCCCCGCATTCACACCTCACAGACACCAACCCCAGCACCGCATTCACACCTCACAGACACCAACCCCAGCACCGCATTCACACCTCACACAGAAACTAACCACAATATTGTATTCACACATTACACAGACACTGATGCCAGCACGCATTTACATTTTACACAGACACGAACGCCAGTACCGCACAGACATTTCATGCAGACTATCTATATATCTATATCTGGTGTTTTTCCTTTGCATAAGAAATGCAGAACTTTAAACATACCCTCAGGTGCCACCCAAGCTGGGCAGTACATCCGACCTGGACATTGAAATGAAAGTTTTACATCAGCCATGCTGATCCGAGCAGTCATATCTTCATCAATCTGTCAGGGAGAGTCAACAAGGTGAGAGAATGACAGAAAAGACAAACAGGAAGAGAGATATGTGCCGGAAGCCTTTGGAGATGAAGGATGCAGAGGTTATAGATGGAGATATATTATGGACAAGGAGTGAATGAAGAAAGTGTGTGTGTGTGTGGGGATGGATGTCTTTCTAATAAAAATAAATAAAAAAAAATAAAAAGTTTTGAGTGGTAGTAGAAAAACAGAGCTATCCATTACATTAAGGGGACCTTTAATAAATAACGGAAAGCAATGGTGGCATGCAGTAGGGGCAGCGAATTAAGAAAACATTCTATGGGAAGAATGCTGGGTGTGAAAAGGGGAGTTGATACAGAAAGCAGAACAGAGAAACGCACCATTACACTGCGGCTGTTAAGATAGTGTCGTGGGATGAGTGGTTCTAGAGTGTGAAGGAATGCCATCCCACGGGCAATGTCTAGGGCAAACTTCACAGCTTGACACTGGTCCACCACCAGACCTAAAAAAAATTTAAATAAATAAAAAATGCACATGAATGTAAGCGGAATAACAAGCATTAGCGGAGTCACTCAAACACACGTTCTGAGTTGGCAAAGTCAGAACGTGTCCGCTAACAGGCACTGTGTCACTCAAAACATGCTATTACTCACTTGTTCCCTCATGTAAAACATTGTATAATGATCCATATGGCATCCAGTGGGTAATCAATATAGGTTGGGGAGCAGGAGGAGACTGACAGGCACCCAAGACTGGGAGAACATTTGGGTGAGAGAAAATCCTAAGGAAATGAGAGACAAAAAAAAAACTAAAATCAGGAGGCCTAGGAGAATGTTCTACATGAAACAAGCACCAAATGACAACGCTGCCATGGGTCAAAAACAGACACTGCATGACAATGGCACCACACGGCAAAACGCAGATACCGTGTGAACTCATGGAGAGAAGATAAAACATTGACATGGGTCCAAATGTCAGATGTAGGTGACCACCAGAATTGATGGGTTGATTCGGTCTTATTAAGAACAGCTTTGGCAGGTATTTCGCACCTTAGTTTGGGGTATTCTTCATTAAAGTCTCGACTCTTCCTCGTACTCCAGTCTCGTATTTTCAGAAGTTTAATAACAATGTCATTTCCTTGCCAACGTCCCTTCCACAGCTGACAAGTAATCCAAGGACAAGATAAAGAAATGGTAAAGAAAATTTTTTGCACATTAAAAACAAATAGTAAGGAAATTAACAAAACATTTACAGATACATTACTGGAATTGCTCCAAAATGGGAGAATGGAGGCAGTTGGCTGGTAGACAGGAGGTCTATTGGTCAGACATGCAGGACTAGTTTAACCCCTTAAGGACACATGACATGTGTGACATGGCAGGATTCCCTTTTATTCCAGAAGTTTGGTACTTAAGGGGTTAATAACAAATAAACGAGGTGACCGGCAGAGGGAACAGGAGGCTGGATGCCTTTGAAGATCCCACTCCCCGTTTGTGAGCCGACTGGCCACTAACCCCGCACTCTCACCTCTCCAGAATGATTTTCATTGAGTTTGTGAGTACGCGATAACTGAGTGTAATCAATCCCAGCTTGTTTATTGAGCGTACCATTTCCTGTAAAGGAAATAATAAAAAAAAAAATTTAAATTTTTTTTTTAAAAAAGGCAGAAAAAGAAAGAAAAAGGAAAGCAATAGAAAATGGCAGAATACATAGATGAAAATAAATAAATAAATATATATATTTTTTTAGAGGAATTGAGAAGACCGGAAAAAGAGAAACCGCTACAAGACAGGGATAGGTTCAGCCAGAATACCAGGAATAAGGAGCAATAAACTGTAATCATCTCACGTGGTCTGGTTCGAGTTGTCCCCTTCCAGAAGGTGTCCTTATAAGGGATCCGGTTCATACTCTGACCCATCTTCTCCGCACGATCTGTGGAGGAAACCGCAAAAAAAATGAGGGACCCATATTAGTCAGTCACTGGATTCCTTGCACATGATGTAAATATTATTGTCCTGTCTTGTTGCTATTGACAATAAAGGGAGATATAATGATATAATGAATGGATACAGAGTACCTCTTACCAGATCAGTTATATGGCACGGTGGGACCAAGCATATAGACAGATCATTCCGTTACAAAGCGCTGTGTGACAACAGATAGACTGACCAATCAATCACACAGCGCGGTGTAAGATAGACTGACCAATCAGTCACACAGCGCGGTGTGAGATAGACTGACTAATCCGTCACACAGCGCGGTGTAAGATAGACTGACCAATCCGTCACACAGCGCGGTGTAAGATAGACTGACCAATCCGTCACACAGTGTGGTGTAAGATAGAAGATAGACTGACCAATCCGTCACACAGCGCGGTGTAAGATAGACTGACCAATACGTCACACAGTGTGGTATAAGATAGAAGATAGACTGACCAATCCGTCACGCTGCGTGGTGTAAGATAGACTGACCAATCCGTCACACAGTGTGGTGTAAGAGACTGAACAATCAGTCACACAGCGCGGTGTAAGATAGACTGACCAATCCGTCACACAGCGCGGTGTAAGCTATACTGACCAATCCGTCACACAGTGTGGTATAAGATAGAAGATAGACTGACCAATCCGTCACATAGCGCGGTGTAAGATAGACTGACCAATCAGTCACACAGCGCGGTGTAAGATAGGCTGACCAATCCGTCACACAGTGTGGTATAAGATAGAAGACAGACTGACCAATCCGTTACACATGGTATCATGACCCAATAGATGGACCTACTGAACCGATAGAAGGTGTAGTGTCATTAGTCAAATATACATCCTCCTGGCCTCAGCCAACACGCTTACCTCTCAGAATCTCTCGCAGATGGTTTTTGCCTTTATCCAAAGGGGTTTCTCCATATTTATTACTAATATAGATGAATGCAGAGTTGTTTACTAAATCCTAAAAAACAAAACAAAAGAAATGAGCCATAATTTGTACAGAAATGGTTACAAGAACAGGTGTAATACATAGTTTGTCAATGGGGGAGAAGGGGGATAAGTGACGGCAGTGTGGGGGGGATGAGTGACGCAGGGAGATTTATCAGTGGGGGGGAGGGGGAATGAGTGACTGCAGGGAGGCGTCAGTGGGGGAAGGATGGGTGATGGCAGGAGGGCTATCAGTGGGGAGGAAGGATGAGTAGCGGCAGGAAGTCTATCAGTGATGGGATATTAGTGGCGGGAGGAAGAGGCTATCAGTAGGGGCCGGATGAGTGGCGGCAGGGGCTATGTGGGGGGCATGTGAGTGGCGGCAGGGGAGGGCTATCAGTGGGGGGATGGTAGCGCAGGAAGGGCTATCAGTGGGTGGGATAGTGGCACAGGGAGGGCTATCAGTGGAAGTGAGTGGCGGCAGGGAGGGCTATCAGTGGGTGGGATGAGTGTAGCAGGGGAGGGCTATCAGTGGGGGGATGAGTGGCGGCAGGGAGGGAGGGCTATCAGTGGGGGTATGAGTGGCAGGGAGGGCTATCAGTAGGTGGCTGACAGGTGGAGGGAGGTGGTGACAGCAGGGAGGCTATTAGTGGGGGGAGAGTGGCGGCAGGGAGGGCCATCAGTGGGAAGGGAGATGAGTGAAGGCAGGAAGGCGTAAATTTGGGGTGTAATTTAGTTTGTTATATGACAGACTGTTCAAACCTCAGCAACGTCATCCTGTCCCCAGAAGCAGGCATAGTGCAGCGGCGTGTTCCCATGCTCATTGACAGCATTCACATCCGCTTTGTACTGGATGAGCTGTAAGAAGGACACACATTCTGAATGGATCCTGCTTGAGGCCTGTTCTGGGTCTGTGAGAGATCAACAAGGGGTAACAGGGCACTTACCTTCTGCACAATATCACGATGGCCATGGCTGGCAGCAAGGTGTAACGGAGTGTCATCCCCTCGGTTCATAACATTGATCCGTGCACCTCTCATTATTAACATGTCTACGATATTACTGCGGCCCTCGCGGCAAGCCCAGTGCAGCGGACTGAAGCCATGGTCATCACTGCAATCAAGATAAGGGATTATATTCAGACTAAGAAGGGGTAAATCCCGGAGAGCTCTAAATGAAATGGAAATTAACTGGGTTTTTATTTAAGAAACGCTCACATTGCACCCAGCAAACATTCAGATACCGAATAACTGGAAGATTCTCCACCTCGATTGGACCTTTTGTCACCATAACATTTGTGACCATCTTTACCACGATGATTTGCTGTATTTCACCACTCATTCATGGATATGTAGTTAATATTATGGCTGGTCGGATCTGGTTTGTAAAATACCCTCCTAGCAGTAAATACCATTACCGAACTGTGTTTTAATCTCCATCCTATCCAGAGACTGCTTCGATCCACCAAACCATCCACACAAAAGAAAGAGTTGGGCACAATACAGATCACGACCGGTTCTGTATTAGGATATTGGAACAGATTCTGTGTCCTGCCGGAATCACAGCGGAAATCACACCTAAAATACTTATTAAAAACTTGGTGGAAACCCATCTACCTCAGAGACCAGTGTCTTTTATTGCATTCATTTCACCCCATTTTTAAAACTCTCCCACAACATGTTGGTGCCTGCTCACCCTTGGTTCAGGTCGTTCTCTGTGTTATCCAGCCACAGGCGGACAGCCACTGCGTTTCCTTCACGGCACTGGGTGAATATATCATCCATGCTGATCACAGAAAGGAGAACCTATGCTGGTCTTCAATCAGCAACTGAAGAAAGGAACAAGGATTAAATCAGCACTTACATAATTCTGAGTGTTTTGCGTGCGCACAGTTCGAGAGAGAGAGAGAGAGAGAGAGAGAGAGAGAGAGAGAGAGAGAGAGAGAGAGAGAGAGAGAGAGAGAGAGACAGACAGACACACACACACACACAGAATACCAACAAACGCAAATGTAGCTCCGCTGGCAGTTATATACACACATAGTTATACAGAGAGAGAGAGAGACACACACACACACACACAGAATACCAAAAAACCCAAATGTAGCTCTGCTGGCAGTTTACAGACAAACACACACAATGATTACCTAAAAACCCAATAGTATGTTTGGACAGGGTTAAAACACACACAGGACAGCCTTGGACCTTGAGGCGCTGTGGTACAAACATGAGAATTTAATGTGAATTTCAAATTTAAAGGAACACAAGCGTGTAATTCTGACCCTATAGTGTTAAAAACACATTAGGAACCTATTAACAGGTAGAAAACATACAATTTTTTTCCCAGCAGCACACAAGTCCCATAGGAAAGCGTTGGATTGGCTGAGATGGTCAATTCTGATTATCTCAGCCAAAGAGGTGGTTTGGGGGCAGAGTCAAACACCGACCTGGCAGCATAACACAGTAAAGGAGTTTAAGCATGCGTGGGATAGGCATAAGGCTATCCTAACTATAAGATAAGACTAGGGACTAATGAAAGTATTTAGAAAATTGGGCAGACTAGATGGGCCAAATGGTTCTTATCTGCCGTCACATTCTATGTTTCTATGTTTCATTTCCTCATGGATATACACCAGGGGTTCTCAACGTTAGTCCTCAGGACCCCCTACCAGTCCAGGGTTTAGGGAATACCTGGGTGTGTCTCAGGTGTTTAGAAAACGAAAAAAAAAAACATCTTGGAGTCTAAGGTGTTTTTTTCCCTTTTTCTAAACACCTGAGACACACCCAGGTAATCCCCAAATCCTGGACTGGTAGGGGGTCCTGAGGACTGGGTTGAGAATCCCTGATATACACTGATATTTAGCGTTTGCAGGGAGACATTGAAATAGAGATGCATCAAATAAGTGTTAGACAACGCAGGAAGCACCTCCTTCACCTGAATGCTGGACATTAAGCTGTAGCTGGTCTGGTGACTATTGTGTCCCTTCTAAGCCAAAAGTAGCCAAACCGGGAGCACAGCTGCAAATGTTTCCAGCTCAGCTATTTCTACCTTGGATTTGAAATTTACTTTGAATTTACCTTGAACTCTCCATTTAGTAAATAACCCTGAAAGTTTAGAAAGCGTCAGAATTTTATTTTACGCATTCTAAGTATATAAGAAAAAACAAACAAACCCCACAGCAGTAAATAAAAAAAAATAAAGGCATTAAGTGTCTCACCAATACACTAATTGCCCAGCCTGGCTACACTGCTGGGGGTAGAATGGCATGTTCACCCTCAATTGTCTTTAAAGGATCACTATAGGGTCAGGAACACAAACATGTATTCCTGTCCCTATCATGTTAAAACCACCATCTAGCCCCCCTGGGTACCTCATGCCTCCATAAATATAGTAAAATCTTACTGTATTCAAGCCTGAAGCTGTAACTCTGCATGCTGTTACACTCAGAAAAACAAACAGCTGACATCATCAGAAGTGGTAGCCCAATCCAATCACAGTGCTTCCCCATAGGATTAGCTGAGACTGACAAAGAGGCAGAGCCAGCACAAGTCAAACACAGCCCTGGCCAATCAGCATCTCCTCATAGAGATGAATTGAATCAATGAATCTCTATGAGGAAAGTTCAGTGCCTGCATGCAGAGGGAGGAGATACTGAATGTTTGGATGAATTTTAGGCAGCCATGACCCAAGAAGGATCTCTAACAGCCATCTGAGGAGTGGCCAGTGAAGTTATCACTAGGCTGTAATGTAAACACTGCATTTTCTCTGAAAAGACAGGGTTTACAGAAAAAGGCCTGAAGGTAATGATTCTACTCACCAGAACTAATTCAATAAGCTGGAGTTGTTCTGGTGACTATAGTGTCCCTTTAATCCCTGTGGCAAAGCTGCCTCCTGCCCAAAGACTATGGGCCATGTAAAAAGACATGTTAAAAACACTGACTTCCATGGAAAATCCGAACCACTGAACCGATCTGGGTGATTTTTGGATATGTTGGTCACCCAGATCAGGGCTATCCGAGGATGTGACTCTTGTGGGGTTTCCATGGATCTTGGGGGTACTTTTGGGGGGTTTGTAAATTGTGTTTTTTTCTGTACCTGAAGATAATTAATTATCTTTGAGACACAGAGGAGGAGTATGTTGAATGTATTGCTTGTCTGTGCCTCTTCCCCTCCACCTTTTTCCTGTCCTATTGTTTCCCCAGCATGGTGCTGTCCCAGAGACACTGCCAGACCAGTTTAAACTGGCTTCTTTGTCCCTCCTCAATCTCTTATCAGCCCTTGCTATTGTCTGACCCCACCCTTCTGTGTACTATAGTGCTCTATGTACCCTATTGTATGTAAATAAGGCTGTTAAATGTGTGAATAAATTGTGAGTGCTTGCCTGTGTATGTGTGAATAAATCGTGAGTGCTACTCCCAGTATTAAGCCTCGGCTAATGTGATGGGTGGGGATTGCTATACTGCGTTACTCTCTTGGAGGAGAGGTTTACCCACTGGGTGCTGGATCCATGTGTTGGTCCAGGGTGGGAAGAGACGGCAAGAACCCAGCCAACCTGCGGCGGCTAAAGAGGGCTACAGTGCTTATGGTGTCTGGTGGAGTGCTTATAGTATCTCAGGGATAATTAGGAAGTGTGACTTGCGGAGGTACCCAGTCGGCATACCAGGCGATCCGCCACAGTCCCCTCCCACCTGATGCCATGGCACAAGGAGGACTCCCCGTTTATTAATACGTTGTGTCTATGCATCTCTATGAGGCGTTGCGGATTGCGCATGAACACTACCATCCCAATGTTTTGGATTTGATCAGTATTGATTATTGCAGTCAGGGGAGGAGGTGATTAAATCACCTTATTTCAGAACTAACTAGATAGTAAAACACTAGGAATACATGTTTGCAAGTGTACCTTTATGTTATGTTCATTCTACTATTAATGAAGAAAAAAAATAGAGCAGTCCAGGCACTCCAGGATACAAAAAGGCAAATTTATCGAACCCACTGCCACTCACAACGTTTCGACCTACACGGTCTTTGTCGAGCTGTAGGTCGAAACGTTGTGAGTGGCGGTGGGTTCAATAAATTTGCCTTTTTGTATCCTGGAGTGCCTGGACTTCTCTTCTATTTTTTTCTTCATCAAGTATTTGGTTCCTGGTACTGGGACTGGTTGCACCCAGATACATTTCATTTGGGATTGAGTGCAGTTCCACATTCTACTGTTAATGTCAGAATTTCATACCATGACGCTAAAGGAAATGTAAAAGTGTAAGTTTATCAATGTAATTCCAATAAAATGATTATATAGCAATCCATAAGGCAAGATCATGGCCACTGGCATAGTAATCACGGTGAGTAAGAATATAATAGATGGCTTTTTGGGGGGGGCACGTTCATTATTTCTCATCTTAGAGCGTTTATTTAACAAACAGTGCACTGTAGTGGTTATGTCCCCCAACATCCTCCCAGTAAGCAGCTTGACAACTTACCTGGGGTCTCAAGAGAGCAGCTGGCACAGTGGTGGCTGAGTGTAACTAGCTGCTACTCCCTGTAGTGCAAAGCCAGCAGCTGACTAACCATAGTAAGTTGTCAAACCATTTCTAACAAACTACATACTGCTTCATTAAGTTTTAAACAAAATTTGCAAGCATTAGACGACTCTTTACAGGAAGTGTATGGAAGGCTGAACACATGCAGGGGGAGGTGTGACTAGGGCTGTATAAACAAAGTGATTTAACTCCTAAATGGCAGAGAATTGAGCAGTGAGACTGCAGGAGCATGTTCTATACACCAAAACATCATTAACCCCTTAAGGACTGGACTGTTTTTGCGATGTTGTACATTTGCGACCAGGAATAATTTTACACTTTTGTGGTGTTTGTGTTTAGCTGTAATTTTCCACGCTCTCATTTACTGTTCCCATACAAATTATATATTTTTTTTTTCAGGACAAAAGGGGCTTTCTTTACATACCATTATTTATATAATCTCATGTATTTTAATTTAAAAAAAATAAAATATGAAAAATTGAAAAAAAATACATGTTTTTTGACTTTTACTTGAAAAATCTTTTACTCATCTAAAAATGCGAATGAAAAAAAAGCTAAATAGATTCAAAATTTTGTCCTGAGTTTAAAAATACCCAGTGTTTACATGCTTTTTTGCAAGTTATAGGGCTATAGGTACAAGTAGGATATTGCGGTTTCAAAACATAAATTTTTTTAAATATATCAATAGTGACATTGTAACACTTATCTGTCATAAATCTCTGAATAACACCCCACATGTACATATTTTTTAAATTAGACAACCCAGGGTATGTCCAGTCTTTTTTAGTAGCCACTTAGTCGAAAACACTGGCCAAAGTTAGCATTCATATTTGTTTGTGTGTGAAAAAAGTAAAAATTTAAATTGAACGCTAATTTTGGCCAGTGTTTGTGACTAAGTGGCTACTAAAAAAAGACTGGACATACCCCATTTGCAATACGCTGGGTTGTCTTCTTTTGCAAATGGTATGCCATCATTCCTGGGCTACCATACGCTCTCAAAGGCAACGTAACCAACCTGGCATTTTTCAATGTAAAAATATCTGACCCTGTAACTTTCAAGACTGTGATTGGGTAAGTACATTGGACCGTTAGGACGGTTCAGGACCGTCACTGGTCGGCAATGGAAAAATGCAGATGACTGTCCTGAACCGTCCTCGGTGCTGATGGGGTTAAGCAAAGATTGTTTTGGTGACAATAATGCCCCTTTAAAGTCACGTTTATTTTCTTGAGAGTAAATTTACAGTCAATACAAACATTAAAACCGTTTTACATGGGGCATTTCACAGCGCACAGGAAAGATGAACTGATACAGGACCACTTCCTATAAAACATGCATTTGCACCTTAAAGAGGAAGTTACAACAAGTAAAATAACAGAATTACATCAAAACATCACGTTTTCACACATACATTATACATCAAGAATTTGCATTCCAAATTATTAACATATTCCAATGTGCAACCATTTATAACGAAAAAAAAATTTCAATAAATAAAAACTCAACACAAAAAGGGCTGGCACATGAGGAGATCAGCGTGTTGAGAAACGGGTCTGCAATTTCTTTGGATTTATTAAAGTTTTTTCAAAAATGGTTAAAAAATGGTTGTCTATTAGGGATTATTCTAGCCTCGGTAAAGGAATAATCTAAATTTTATTAAAAAGACAGGAGGCAAATATTTGCTTTACCTTCTTTACTGAAACCTCCAGCAGCAGAGAAATAGTTAACAGAACTTTTTCAAACAACCAATCAGAACAAAATAACAGCAGTATAAAATCCCTCCGTCAGACCCTCAAAACTTCCTCTTTCTTTGAGGTCGAGCAGGAGAGCAAGGAAACCAACGAATCCACCCAGGCACATCCAGAGAAGACATCGTGAGAGTAAACTGGCAAAGCAAGATGTCATATCCATACAATATCACGTGCACATCATGGTACACGATGAATAAAACGCACACGGACAATCACCATTGTATAACAGAAATAATCGTTATTATACAAGACCATGCATTCACAAAACATAACAATATCTCCAATTAAACAGAAGAAAAAAAAAACTAATTCCATGGAGGGAAAGGTAAAGGGGGGGGAAATATTCGCCTCTTGTCTTTAATAAAGTGGTGGATTGGCGCTTAATATATTATATAAGTGTGCCACTACCCCCAGTGGCCAAATTCACTAAAATGGCACTCAATGTTAAGTGGAAATTGTAACTATAATGGGGGTGCAGAGAATATACAACAACTCCAAAACCTACAATATCTGGGGAAATTGTGTGAAGTGTTCTTGCCTCCACCTGTAGTCTACAACTGGAGTGGGCGGAGTAACTGTTATCATTTACATAGCACATTTAATTGCAATGTTGTTGCACAGTTACATTAAACCATACATTTATAAAAACATTAGCAGGTGTTCAAAAGGCCCTGTCTATGACATCACTTGCTGCTGCAGCTTGACACAGGTCAGAGTATTTTGGCGGTTGCCATCTTCAAACGGTCGTATCTTAAAAACTATAACTCCTACAGCGAAGAGCTTTATATTGTGAGAATCACAAGACCCAGACCTACATTTTGATGCATAGTATGTCTCTGGGATATTAACAATGAAGACACAGTCGCAGTTTAGAAAATTGCCCTTCAAATTTGAGCTTTGTAGAGTGAAGTTTCAATGAATGTCAATGGACGGCGTAAGTTGCAAACAAATGATTATATTGTGAAAACTATCAGGACTATGGCTTAGCCGTGGACATGTTTAGTGGCAGCAGGGATAGCTGAACGTTTTGATATAAGATTTGTGTAGGTGGGCTTGAAAATGAGGGAGTGGTGGCAGTTTAGAAATCATGTCCTGATTTTCAGCTTTTGCCAGCTCCCACTCTAGTTTTGAACATTCTGCCGCTCATTCCTATGGGACCAACTTCGTCACAAGAACAACGATATTCTGTGAACCATTCGGCGAAACCTTCCACAAAGTAGTAGCAATCCGATCGGGAACAATACGCACGTTTCGGTATATTATGGTCTATGTAGTGTAAAAACTATGGGAGGAGTTAGGGTGGTAAATTTGGCTATAATAAGAATAATAATATATATGTGAGATAACATTAAATGGTCTTGCTTTGCAAGAACACTTAATAAATTCACTGTATACTTAGTATTAGGAGTGTGAAACCTCCTGAGATTCCTGCAACAATATAAAAAAAACAAAAAAAACATTCATAGCATAATATTGTTGTGACAATAAAATCAGATTAAATATAGAGGTAATGGGTCACTCACACTTTGCAGAGCCACAGTAAGTTGGCTCTGCAAAGTGTGAGTGACCCATTACCTCTATAATTGATCTGAATTTATTGTCATAACAATATTATGCTATGAATGTTTTTTATATTGTTGTTGCAGGAAGATCAGGCGGTTTCACACTCACAATACCAAGTATACAGTGAATTTATTGTTTTATATTCTCTGCACCCCCTTATATTTACTGTAAAAACAGGAGACCGAGGACGGAAATAAAAAGGAACGGAAAGTCGATTTCCTAGACCAAATCAGCGGTGTAGAGAAATATCCGGATGGGACCCACCGGCTCCTAGATCTGCTGAAGCTGCAGCGCCCGGAACCAAATGTGCCCCAAAGGAACTCGCCACGCCAGCCAATGAGAGAAGCCATTGAATCCAACGAGCAAGCAAATGTGCAGAAACATCCCTAAATGGTCGTACATAGGAAATAAACAGCTGCTTTTGAGCAGGACGACGAAAGGACGAGGTCTTGGATATACACGTCCATAGGCAACGTGCCACACAGAGACGTGGCCTATCTGGAGAGTTGAGATACGACACAGAAGACGACTTCAATTTGGTCCTGTGCAAAATAGAAACAGACACACTATCTGGTGAGAAGGAAAAAAGATTCTACATCAAAAGTACAAACAAAAGACCTAACAGGAGAGCCAGCTAAGAGGAAAGTTGGCTCAAAGACAAATCCTCATCATCAGGCTATTCCTCAAGGAATCGTAAAACAAGCGATACATCCTAAACTGAGGAATAGCAAGAGATAGGGGTCCCGAAAGGCGTCCACCTCGAAGTAGTTTGCAGACCAACGGGTCCTTACCAATGCCAGAATCTTGAGAAGGCATATGAGCTGTCGAGCTAGCTGACCTGAAGACGTAAATGGTCCTAAAGACCTTACCCTGAGAAAACAATTCAGCCAGGCAGGTTAGAACAGCCATGATGGGGGCCATAAAGGGATCCAAACATCTCTCCAGACACCAGCCATGTCAGGATCGCCAGGCGTGCAAGTATTATCATCAGGTGCCAGGTTCCGTAAGAAGACTCTAACCGTTGTCAATAGGTCTGACACATCCCAGGACCCCGGAAATGGTCCAAGCCACTAGTGGTAGGCGATCCTCTAATATCAATGGGTGTGGATTCCCTTGTGGATCCCGTAGGAGACACCTGGAGACAGGGAGTAGTAGAGGGTCTTCGCACGACAACTCAAGCAAGAGAGAGAACACGGTTGACTCCTCCAATGTGGTGTGACCAGGAAAAGTGACACTGCCTGTTTGGTCCGATGCAATGTCCAAAGTATCCTGTATAAAAAAGTCTCGGAGGGAGGCCAGTCTTGAAGAACGCTTCCACCACCTCGCTGAGGGGGTCCGGAAGCCAACTGAAGAACCACTGTTTGACGGTTCGCACTGAATGTGATCAGAACTGAGTGAAGGGGGGCCTTCGGAGTAAGTGCAGTACTCGAAACACCGGAGGGTGAAGTAGCCAATTGTTGGCGTCTCTCCAGTGTCGGGATAACCAGTCTGCTACATGATTGTCTCGTCCCGGGAGATATTCTGCCACAAGTGACAAATTCTTGTCCAAACAGTATCGCTAGAGATCCAACAGCAGTCTGGAGCGGACAGCCGGGACGTTGTCCGTGCAGGGAAGCAGCGAGCAGTGATTCTTCCGCTTGGGAAGCTGCGAATGGCAAACAAACCTGCAGTTAGGTCCAGACAGTTTACGCGAGGAGCAGTCCAGAGTCCTCCTGTCGCCACGCCATCGCAAGTAGCGCCCCAGCCCATACAGCTGGTGTTGGATTCCAGGACAAAGTCTGGTTGGGGTCTGAAACTCTCCTTGCTGTTCCAGGTCAAAGTCACCAATGACTCGGTCGTACAAGGCTGAAGACCAGAGATAGTGAGCCTTCAGGCTTGAAAGTGTCCGATAGTGCATGGTCCTGGAAAGATGGCTTCAATGGAGGATGACAACAGGCCTATGGTCTGGGCTAGGTCCCTTAGTGTGACCCGCGGGTTGCGGAGCATGTGTCTGATACCCTTCCTGAAGGCAGTCACCATGGACATCGGAAGATGGAGCACCGCCTGAACGGAATTCTTCACGAAAGCCAGAAACTGGACCGACCAAGAGGGAGTCCATTCCGATATTTCCACGTTGATGACGAATCCCAGGTCCTGAAGCAGATGGATCGGGATCGTGAGGTAGGCCTCCCGCAGATCCAATTGAGAGTGGTCATGCGTATCAGCCATGGAGCTGTGATCTATGCCTGAGGTTTCAACAAAATTGATCCTGCATCCGGGCACGGTCTTGGAGACATCTGTGCCTAGTTGCGAGACCTCTAAATAAAAAAAGTGTTGGTTCAACTCATTTGTGAAGGCATACCCAAAGAGAAGACCCAGTTCCTTGGATGCTAAATCCACCAACTTGCTTTCCAGCTTGTAAGGGGCCGCTTCGCGGCGTTCGAAGGATAGGGGCACATTGGTGTTTCCTTATAAACAGACGGACCTTTTGGCACATTCTGGAAGAAGATTTAGCATCCACCGGTGTTACACTTTGTAGAGCGTCATCCACCGTGAGGAACATCTGTGTCAACGTGCCACTGACATCCAGCGGTTAGTCCTGGGCAAAGCGCAAACCATGTTCCAGGTCTTATTCCATGTTCCATGTTCAGGACTTATTCATGAAGCTGGCCGTCTTTTTTAACTTGTCAGGCAGCTCCCTCTTCGTCGGTGGGAGCGCCATGGCCCTTCCAATGTCTCTTACGTGCGGAGTTCATATCCACAGAGCAGAGGGAATCGCCGTATCGGAGCTCCGAGCACCTGAAGTGCAGGGTCCAGGGTGGTTGGTGGAGCGTCACCATGTAGGGCAAAGAGGGTTTCAAGAAATGAGTCCACTAAGGCAGGCCTGGAGACCTTCTGGGTACAGAAATCTGCTCTGTCACCCATGACTGTATCACTGCCATAGAGGTAACACGGTCAGTGTGGAACCTGGTGAGGCCAGCTGGGGTTCACCCAGCGTGCAAGAGGGGGTCATCCAACAAGCACAAGCATACCATGCAGTATAGGCCAGCAGGGGAGGAGGTCACCCTCAGTATGAATATAACAGGACACTGTAGGTACAGTAGTGCCATCAGCAGTAGGGGTCACCCATATTATGAATATAACAAGACACTGTAGGTCCAGCAGTGCAGTCAGCAGGAGGGAGTCACCCTCAGTAGGAGTATAACAGGACACTGCAGGTGCTGCAGAGCAGTCAGCTATAGGGGGTCACCATCAGTATGACTATACTGTAGGTCCAGCAGTGTTGTCAGAGCGGTACTGACACCACAGCAGGATCCAGTAGAGGGCAGTAATGTTAGACAGGGCAGTGCCTTGTAATACAAGGGGGGTCACCAACACATAACAGGCCAGAGGCCTACCTCCACCTGGAGCCCAGGTGGCCTAAAACCTGTAAGGGAAATAAATTGGTGCATGAGGGGCCGGCAGGGAAACCCAAAGGCCAGGCAGCACCCCAGGAACCCATATCTCCACATAAGTCAGGGGAGCACACACAAGACAGGCAGCCCAAATAAACACAAAATAAGCAGTAACAATGCAATAAATACACAAAAGAACCCAGAGCAGACACACTCTCTGAGTTGGACAGTGCTCACCTGGATGCAGCAGCAACGAAAGAGGGCGTAGGAGAGTCTGACTGAGGGATTTCATACAGCTGTTATTTTGTTCTGATTGGTTATTTGAAAAGTTTTGTTAACTATTTCTTTGCTGCTGGAGGTTTCAGTAAAGAATGTAAAGCAAATATGAAGCCTCCTGTCTTGCCCTAAAATTAGGAACCATTACACATTAAACACACAATCCCAGCACCATTTGATAAAAGTGGCGATTCCTAGAATTCCTCCAGGTCATTGTCAAAGCTTAAGGAGAAGTCACAAAAGTAGACAGAAATGAAACTGAACATGATAATGGCTGGAAATTACCGGGACACTATAACAAAACAACTTCAACTTGTTTCAAATATTTTGTTCAGGAGAAATTAATATGAAACAATTTAATATGAATAAAAATTAAATTTCTTAATTTCACACTTCAAAATTGTATTTAGTTCTGCGTGGCATTTTAACTGTGCATGTCATAATATTGTTACTTTGACTGCAATAAAATACACGAGTACCAGTACCGCCCCCCACGTACAGGTTTTATGGAGAGTTACAGTAAGGTATGTCTTTTTGCTGATGATACTAAGATATGTAACAGGGTTGATGTTCCAGGAGGGATAAGCCAAATGACAAATGATTTAAGTAAACTAGAAAAATGGTCAGCATTGTGGCAACTGACATTTAATGTGGATAAGTGCAAGATAATGCATTTTGGACGTAAAAACCCAAGGGCAGAGTACAGAATATTTGATAGAGTCCTAACCTCAACATATGAGGAAAGGGATTTAGGGGTGATTATTTCTGATGACTTAAAGATAGGCAGACAATGTAATAGAGCAGCAGGAAATGCTAGCAGAATGCTTGGTTGTATAGGGAGAGGTATTAGCAGTAGAAAGAGGGAAGTGCTCATGCCATTGTACAGAACACTGGTGAGACCTCACTTGGAGTATTGTACACAGTACTGGAGACCGTATCTTCAGAAGGATATTGATACCTTAGAGAGGGTTCAGAGAAGGGCTACTAAACTGGTTCATGGATTGCGGGATAAAACTTACCAGGAAAGGTTAAAGGATCTTAACATGTATAGCTTGGAGGAAAGACGAGACAGGGGGGATATGATAGAAACATTTAAATATATAAAGGGAATCAACACAGTAAAGGAGGAGACTATATTTAAAAGAAGAAAAACTACCACAACAAGAGGACATAGTCTTAAATTAGAGGGACAAAGGTTTAAAAGTAATATCAGGAAGTATTACTTTACTGAGAGGGTAGTGGATGCATGGAATAGCCTTCCAGCTGAAGTGGTAGAGGTTAACACAGTAAAGGAGTTTAAGCATGCGTAGGATAGGCATAAGGCTATCCTAACTATAAGATAAGGCTAGGGACTAATGAAAGTATTTAGAAAATTGGGCAGACTAGATGGGCCAAATGGTTCTTATCTGCCGTCACATTCTATGTTTCTATGTTTTCCCCTTTAAATTGATCGTCTCTAGGGCTGTGTGTCTTTTATATAGGTTTTAGTAAAACCACTTCAATGCCCTCTGTGTGTTTCACTACACCCTGTACTCCTAACTTCTGCCTGACTCAGAGGCACTATCCATGCTACCCCTTCCTGCGGCCAGAGCAGAGATCTGATCGGCTTCTGGCCGGCTTCCAACCACGGGCGGTATCACCGCGAGCAATCCCGGCCCCTACCTGTCACCTAGCGACACCTCCTTTCTCCCGCAGCCATTTCCTCGGCGGGCTTCTTTCTCGCACTTTTGCTCCTCCATTCCGGAACGTCTGGACGGCTAGTGATCTCCAACGGCTCTCCAGCGCCTCTATTGGTTACTTCAGGTAAGTTCCATCAATGTTTTTTTCTAACAGCAATTTAAATCAAACTAAACATGTAGTCAGTAACATTAAAGTGTTACTCTTTTTTTATTGCATATTACAACTAAATCCTTGCATAAGAGGGTGACCCCCTCTATATTAGATCAATTATCTGCCTCATATAAAAGGGTGACCCCCTTACTGTCTCCTTAGGGTGACCATCTCATTGCATATTATTAAATCGGACCAGTTATACTGTCCTTCTGCGTTAACTGTGGGTGACCCCCACGCTTAATTGGCGATTGAAAGCACCTTCTATATACGCCTTGTGTTCTTTGATCAAGTCCACTGCCTTTTGAGAGATAGATATATATATATAAAAAACACAACAACAAAAAAAACACAAATACACACACACACACACACACACACACACTTGTGGTGACCCCACTTTCTCTCAAATATGTCTGATTTGCCTGAACCAGCAGTCTCTGCTGATCTTAAAGCTTGGCTGTATAACGCCATTGCAGATTCCATTCCCAAAACTTTAGCAGCTTTCCACGACCACTCAAAGTCTGCCCCTAGGGCTCCTGTTGTTCATCTCTCAGACTCTGAGGAGTCAAAAGGCTCAGAGCACGATGAAAGCCCCCGCAAACACCCTTGGAAGGGCAATAGTGCTACCGCCGGCAAAGGCAAGGCACCGGCAACAACACCTAGATTATGCCTTTCGGGTACTCAGGATGATACCCCCAATTATAACTTTGACCCATTAGAGGGTTCAACTTCCAACTTCAGGTAGTGGACGAACACTGTGCAGGGTATTCGGACGAGGACTTTCCCTCTCATGAACTCCACCAAAATGAACACCAAACCTCTGATTCTAACCTCATATCTGAGGATATTTTACCAGATACCTCTGGTCGCCCCCTGTTCGACCCTAGGTATATCAAACACCCACAAACTGCTGAGTGGAGCCCCCCGACCACATTGCTAAGTTCTGCAGGATGTGGCTCCGTAAACCTTTAGAAAAAGAAGTGAGAGCTAAATTAAGAGCAGAATGCCCATGACCTATTAACTCAGACAAAGCGGCTTTTACCTCAGAATTCGATCCCTTGCTCGTCACCTTCCTGTATAAGACAGGAAAAGATCCCCGTAAGGGTTTGGAACAAGGCCAGAGGGCCACCCAGAATAAAATGATGGATATGGCGGGACCACTTATCCAGATATTCAGTATCGCAGAAGAGGCTTTGGCAGGTGGCACTTTGGACTCATATATGGCAACTAGGCAACGCCAATGTTGCCATGTCAACTGAAAGACGGAAAGCCGCGTTATACAAAATCGATTCAAAGCTTGCCGAATTAGGCACTAAAGAGCTTGGCCCTGAGGCACAAGGTATGCTATTTGGAGAAAAATGTATTAACGAATTAAGTAAACAAGTGGCAATGTTTACTACACTTACAAAAGCGCAATCTTCCTTACGCAAGGTATTTAGGTCCCAGTGTTTTTCCTGGGAGAGCCAGCCATTACAGAGGCCGGACGGCTGGCAGAGCTGCCTTCACAGGCTACAGGCCTCGACCTTCAGATCACTGGAAATCGGCAATACCCGTTTCCACCACAAGCACTTCTTCCACTCTCGTGGATCCGCTTCCCTCCGCGGTCTCACTCCTATAGGTAATGGACTAATTTTTCTCATGTACCTATAGCAGGCAGATTAATCAATTTTTCCCAACAGTGGTCCCGTCAGACCGTGTCTGGCTTCCACCTAGAATTTACAGAGGATCCAGTTCAAATATCCTTGCCTAGCCCACTCATGATGTCTCAAATAGAAGACACGTCACTTCAAGTCAAACTCTACGACCTCGTCACCAAGGGCGCCATCGAGGGTTCGTGAGCAACATGTTTCTAGTCAAGAAAACGTCGGGGACCAGTCATCAATCTAAGAGAACTGAACAAATACATCAAATACAGACACTTCAAGATGGAAGGCATCCATCTATTACGGGGACCTCCTCTACGAGTGAGATTGGTACCGTGAGGTATGCACCTTTGAGGTCGAATCGGGAGAACAAATCACGCCAGAACACCGCACCTTCCTCCAATTCAATTGGCGCCAAACAATATGGCAGTTCACCTGTCTCGCCTTCGGACTGTACTCCGCACCTTGGTGTTTCACCAAACTAATGAAATCGATGATGGCACTACTCCGTTCACAAGGGATTCAGGCCATCATATACTTGAACTATATCCTCCTTATGGCTCAAGACGAAGAGACTCTACGTCTCTTTACAGATAGGACTTCGGCTCTCCCCCAGAATTTGGGTTTCGTCATCAACCTCCAAAAATCATCTCTAACTCCGTCTCACACGGTACAGTTTCTGGGATTTCAGATAGATTCGATTCAGGCAGTCCTGCAACTCCCTGCTACGAAAATCAAAACCATAAAAAAAAAAAAAAGGACATCCGGAGATTTCTGGCCTCACCATATCTCCGCTTCAGGGATCTACCACGCACAATTGCATTACTCTCCGCCTCAATCCAGGCAATATTTCCAGCCCCACTACACTATTGGGCAATGCAACGTTTGAAAACATGCTACTTACATCGCTAATAGGGTTGAGTGGACACCTGGATGTTCGGGTTTGCCAAATTCGTCCGAACTTAGTCAAAAAGTTCGAGTTCGGCCTCGAACTTGACCCGAACCCCATTGAAGTCAAAGGGGACCCGAACTTTTGGGCACTAAAATGGCTCTAAAAAAGTCCTGGAAAAGGCTAGAGAGCTGCAAAAGGAAGTAAAATGGAGGTAAGAGTAGGACAAGTGCCTGGGAAATAACTTGAAATAACATAAAAATAATAGTCTTAAACTAGGAGGAGGAGGTGGATGTGGAGTAGGAGGCGGTGACCGTGGCGGTGTAGGTGGAAGCGGCGGTGGAGGAGGAGGTAGCCAACACTGTTTTTTAAATCGGGGGATCCCCCAAAATATTGGGACATATAAAAAAAGAAAACAAAGAATAAGTGCACTTGGGTATAACAATGGCTGGGTGAGGCCGGTATAAATGTCTATTCGGCACAAGGTACAGACAAGTCTGGTGGGATCCATGCCTGGTTCATTTTAATAAATGTGAGCTTGTCCACGTTGGCTGTGGACAGGCGGCTGAGCTTGTCTGTGATAATGCCCCCTGCCATGCTAAAACACACGTTCAGACAATATACTGGCTGCAGGGCAGGCCAGCACCTCCAAGGCATAAAGGGCAAGCTCAGGCCATGTTCCCAATTTGGAAACCCAGAAGTTGAATGGGGCAGACCCATCAGTCAGTACGTGTAGGTGTGTGCACACGTACTGTTCCGTCATGTTGCTGAAATGTTGCCTCCTGCTAAGACGTTCCATAACAGATGGTGGTGCTGGTTGTTGTGGCGTGCTGACGAAGCTTTTACAAATTTCGGCAATGCTAACCCTGCCTTCTGAGGTGCTGGCGGTGCCCCAGCTGCGTCGGCGACCTCTTCCTCCTCCTCTGCCTTCGCCTTGTGCTTCCACTGAGCCCCCCGTGTCAGTTGGGAATGCCCTCAGCAACGCATCTACCAGCGTACGCTAGTAGTCGCGCATCTTCCGATCATGCTCCAGCGAGGGAATTAAGGACGGCACGTTGTCCTTGTAACTGGGATCCAGCAGGGTGGCCACCCAGTAATCAGCAAGTTAGAATGTGTGCAACTTAGCAGTCGTTGCGCAGGCACTGCAGCATGTAGTCGCTCATGTGTGCCAGGCTGCCCAGAGGCAAGGACAAGCTGTCCTCTGTGGGTGGTGTATCGTCTGTGTCCTTCGTATCCTCCCAGCCACGCTCCAGTGATGCCCACGAACTGCGTTGGTTGCCACCCTGCTGTGAACACTGTTCCTCCTCCTCAAGAACTGTGCCCTGGCTGGACAATTGTGTAACTGTCCTATGCTGGTGCAGGAACCCACCCTCCAAGCCACTTGTTAATGACTGGCCTGATAACAGTGGAAATGAGCCCTCTTTCTCCTGTGCCACATCCTCTTCCATCATCGCCCAAAGCGTTTTTTTCAAAGGAGACATAGAAGCGGGATAGTAAGAATGACAACGGCGTCATCGGCACTGGACATGTTGGTGGAGTACTCGAAACATTGCAAAATGTCACACAGGTCTCGCATTGGAGGCCCACTCATTGGTGAAGTGGTGCTGTTCCGCAGAGCGACTGACCCTGCGTGCTGCAGCTGAAACTCCACTATCACCTGCTGCTGCTCGCACAGTCTCTCCAGCATGTGCAAGGTGTAGTTCCACCTTGTGGGCACGTCGCACATGAGGCGGTAAGCAGGAAGGCCGAAGTTACGCTGCAGCGCAGACAGGCGAGCAGCAGCAGGGTGAGAACGCAAAAAGCGCGCACAGACGGCCCGCACTTTCTGCAGCAGCTCTGATATTTCTGGGTAGTTTTTCAGGAATTTCTGCACCAAAGTCAGCACATGCGCCAGGCAAGGGATGTGCGTCAAACCGGCTAGGCACAGAGCTGCTACGAGACTTTGCCCATTATCGCACACCACCAGGCTGCGCTTGAGGCTCAGTAGTAACAACCCCTCATCGGTCTGTTGTTCCATGCCCGTTCACAGCTCCTGCGCGGTCTGGGGATTTCCCCCCAAACATATGAGTTTTAAAACAGCCTGCTGTCGTTTCCCCCTTGCTGTGCTGAAGTTGGTGGTGAAGGTGTAACGCTGACCAGATGAGGAGGAGGAAGCGGAGTTAGAGGCAACAGGAGGCAAATGCTCTGCAATCCTCGGTGGCGGAAGGACATGCGAAAAACTGCTATCTGCCTCAGGCCCAACCGCCACTACATTTGCCCAGTGTGCAGTTAGGGAAATATAGCGTCCCTGCCCGTGCTTACTGGTCCACGTATCTTACTGGTCCACGTACCTTGCCACAGATGGCGTTGCACAGTGCACACCTGATTTTGTCCGCCAATTGGTTGTGCAGGGAACGAATGGCTCCCCTGGAAAAGTAGTGGCGGCTGGGAACCACGTACGCCATCGGGTTTTTAAAACTGTGTCGCCACCAGATGGAATGACAGCATTTCCAAGGGAACAAATTTTGAAATGCTGGCATTCAGGGCCAGGGATCGCGGGTGGCACTTCCTCTTTCTCTCCAGTGTTTGGGAGATGGACAGCTGAACACTTCCATGGGACAGTGTGGAGAGGCTTGGGGATGGTGGCGGCGGCGTTGCTGCCACATCCTCTGTTTGCAGGGTGGCAGGTGCCACTGTGACTCCAGATGTGGAGGAAGAGGCCGAGACAGCAGCAGAAGAGGAAGCAGGAGGAGCCTGAGACCTTTCTTGTTTTTTGAGGTGCTTACTCCACTGCAGCTCGTGCTTTCCATGTAGATGCCTGGTCATGCAGGTTGTGCTCAGGTTTATGCCTCGCTTCAGGCTCTGATTGCACAGCAAGCAAACCACTAGTGTCTTGTCGTCAGCACATTGTCTGAAGAACTGCCACGCCAGGGAACTCCTTGGAGCTGGCTTTGGTGTGCTCTGTCCCTAGGTGCGGTGGGCAGTAGCAGGCGTACGGTCTAGGGGACGGCCGCTCCGCTTTTGCTGTACTGGTGCCTCTGTGCGACCACCGCCTCTTCCTCCAAACTGCACACGTCACTCGCATGACCTTGATTCCATGTGGAGTCTAGGACCTCATCATCTTCCACCCTCCTTGCCGGTCTGCACACTGCAGAAAGCCACAGCAGTACGCACCTGTGTTTCGTCATCAGAGATGTGCTGCAGTGGTCCTCACATGTCCACATTCTGACACATAAGTGGTTGTGCATCAGTGCACTCAATCCCTTCCACTTCTGGGGCAGGGCTTGGTGGATGGCCCACGGAAACCCCGCCAGCAGAGTCATCAAAAAGCATAAGAGACTGCTGACTTGTGGCTCAGACTGCTTAGCTGATTTGCAAGGGGGTGAGGTGAAAGACAGATGGCCATGAGCTGCAGGTGCCAACTCTGTCTCCCAACCGATCCCCTGCTGAAAGCTCAATGTGAAGGAACTGGAGGCACTGTCAACCATCCAATCTACTATCGCCTGTACTTGTTCTGGCCTCACCATTCGTAGAGCGGTATTCGGGCCTACCAAATAACGCTGAAGGTTCTATCGCGTACTCGCACATGAGGAAGGTGTTTCACTTGTGCGTGTAGGTAGCACAGATCGACCATGTCCTCTCCTTGCAACAGTACCAGTCCCTTATTTGACGCTGTCCTCATTCTTTGCGTTCACCCACCAAACTAAAAGATGGTTTATGTTAGGCGACAATGTAACCGCCAAAAGTCAAAAAAATTTTTTTAAAAAAATGGACTGCAAGAAATGCACCGCAGGCCGCAAATGTACTATTTAGCACCAAAGAAATTAGAATTTTTGAAAGTGCGATGTAACCACAGTATTTGACAGTTCTATTTGACTCTCAGATATGAAGTACAGGCCCCAAGTGTACTTTTTAGCACCCAAGAAATGTGAATTAGTCAAACTGCGATGTAACCACAGTATTTGACTTTCAGATATGAAATGCACCGAAGGCCGCAAATGTACTATTAAAGGACCACTATAGTGCCAGGAAAACATACTCGTTTTCCTGGCACTATAGTGCCCTGAGGGTGCCCCCATCCTCAGGGTCCCCCTCCCGCCCGGCTCTGGAAAGGGGAAAGGTGTTAAAACTTACCTTTTTCCAGCGCTGGGCGGAGAGCTCTCCTCCTCCGATCCTCCTTCTCTCCTCCCCGCCGGCTGAATGCGCACGCGCGGCAAGAGCTGCGCGCGCATTCAGCCGGTCACATAGGAAAGCATTCATAATGCTTTCCTATGGACGCTGGCGTGCTCTCACTGTGAAAATCACAGTGAGAAGCACGCAAGCGCCTCTAGTGGCTGTCAATGAGACAGCCACTAGAGGAAATAGGGGAAGGCTTAACCCATTCATAAACATAGCAGTTTCTCTGAAACTGCTATGTTTATGAAAAAATGGGTTAACCCTAGCTGGACCTGGCACCCAGACCAGTTCATTAAGCTGAAGTGGTCTGGGTGCCTAGAGTGGTCCTTTAAGCACCAAAAAGTTAGATTTTTTTAAACCAACAATGTAACAGTAGTATGTAAGGGTTTTATTGGACTGCAAGAAAAGCAGTACGCAAATGTACTATTTAGCACCCAAAAAAATTGCAGTATTTAAAAATGCCTAGATGTTGCCCACTGAGCTACCAGAACAGGATTAAAGTAATGTGCCTGGCACACATGCAGTTGCAAGTGCACTGCACGCTCTGTGGCACTGGGCTCAGGGCACAAAAAATGTACTTCAGCACCCACAAAAATAAAATCGCTGTAGTTTGCAGATTCAACACCAGAATTCTTTCCTAATCTGTCCCTAACAGCTGCAGCATCCTCTCCCTACACTAATAAGAGCTCATGTGACGTGCGATGCTACGTGACTCCAGCTTATATATAGAGGTTGGATCACATGCTGCACTGGCCAATCACAGCCATGCCATTAGTAGGCATGGCTTCTAAGGGCATACAAGTCAAACGCTTTCAAAAACGCGCCATTAAATCACCAAACTCCAACCCGAACATACACTGATATGTCCGTGTTAGGGTCTGGGGTACAAAAACTAATGTTCGGTACGAACCCGAACTTTACAGTTTGGGTTCGCTCACCTCTAAAATCGATAGACATCTTATGACCAACAGATTCTTCTCACAGACAAAGTCCAATTGGAACTCCACTGGTGGCTTCAACATATGAAAGCCTGAAATGGAAGGGATATCTTCGGCCGGCAACCCGATTTCATTCTGGAATCAGATGCCAGTCTCCTCAGATGGGGTGCCACCCGCTAGGAACGTTCTACCGGAGGCCTAAGGCCCCCATCAGAATGGGCACTACACATCAATTGCCTCAAACTAATTGCTGGTTCTTTCGCGATCCGCAGTTTTGCCAAAGAAGCCTACAACTGCAGCCTTATCCTGAGGATGGACAATGTCTCAGTAGTACAGTACGTGAACCGCATAGGCGGCTCCCGATCAAAGATGCCATCGGATCTGACGAAGGAATTCATCTACTTTTACTTCCATGATAAACCCACGCTTTGTGTAGCTAGTTGCGTCCGACACTACATCTTTCGCACTAATGCCCTAAGAACACAAATGGGCACCCTACTGGTGTCTTACGTACGCCCTCACAAGCCAGTGTCATGTCCCACGATTGCTCGTTGGATCGAGTGGCTACTGGCCCTAGCCGGCATCGACCCATGTTTTGGTGCTCATTCCGTTAGAGGTGCGGCAGTCTCTTCTGCATTTACGTCTGGGGGCTCTCTGCCGGAGATTCTAGCCTCCGCAGATTGGTCCAGAGAATCCACCTTCAGAACCTTTTATTTCAGACAATCTTTTCATGTGTCTAGTTCCATCTTATACTCGCTTTAAAAACAGCAAATATGAAACCTCCTGTCTTGCCATAAAATTCTGGATTACTCTAACCTTAGTGACCGAATAATCTAAATTTTATTAAAGACAGGAGGTGAATATTTTCCCACCCTTAGTAATACGCGCCCACCATGCTAGCAACACCTCTATTTTGCTCCAATTTATTACTACTCACTGTTCTACTGTTTACACGTACATGGTTGACTCTACGACTGTATCAAGAAAGAGGAGTTGGGAGGAGCCTGATGACTGGACATACTCTATTATACACTCTGGTTACATTTTTTTTTACTTACTGTTAACTGTTTCTTTGCTGCTGGGAGTTACAGTAAAGAAAGGAAAGCAAATATTCGCCTCTTGTCTTTAATAAAATTTAGATTATTAGATCACTAAGGTCAGAATAATCCCAAATTATTCCAGATGACTTCAAAAAGGTAGGCAGACAGTGTAATATAGCAATGCTAGCAGAATGCTTGGTTGTAATAGGGAGAGGTATTGGCAGTAGAAAGAGGGAAGTGCTCATTCCATTGTACAGAACACTGGTGAGACCTCACTTGGAGTATTGTACGCAGTACTGGAGATCATATCTCCAGAAGGATATTGATACTTTAGAGAGAGTTCAGAAAAGGGCTATGTGGTAAACAGAACTTTGCCACGGGCTCCTGAAGGAGCCTACTTGTCAGCCTCCTGCTTCAGGACTATGGCCTCTGCATTATACCATGTCTAACGCACTTTAACCCCTTAAGGACACATGCCATGTGTGACATGTCATGATTCCCTTTTATGCCAGAAGTTTGGTCCTTAAGGGGTTAAACGACTCTGTTGGGGTTTTCATGAGTTGTAAGCCATAATCATCGCACTTATGACAAATCACGGCTTGAACTATCTTGCTTTGCATGTAATGCGTCTATCTCATATATTAGTTTCCCCTTTTACATTGCATTACTGAAATAAATGAACTTTTGCATGATATTCTAATTTTTCGAGTATCACCTGTATTGCATGTTTTCTGTACTGTGAGATAATTTAATTTAGATGTGTACTTTGCAGCAGTCTCCTCTCAGGTCCAGCTAGGAATGCCCCTGGAATGTAATTGAGGAAACCCTTTGCATGTGGAGCTGCATAAAAGGCTGTGTGTGGCACCCAATAAACCAGTTCATCCCCAGCATTGAGTCTCGTCTCTTGTGTGTGGAAGAAGACTTTACCAGCTATATCCCTGCTCTTTGGATTGCTAGATAACCAACTATTTTAAAGGGCTATACACTATTGGAGGAGAGGTCTTCCTACTCGGAGCTGGATCCAGGTGTTGGTCCAGGGTGGGAAGGGACTACAAGACCCCAGCCAAGCTGCAGCGGCTTCGGTGCTTATGGTGTCCGGTGTTTATGGTACTCTGTGATACTAGGAAGCAGCGATTGGTGGAGGTACCCAGTCGAGGGGGCCAGGTGGTCTGCCACAGACTACTAAACTGGCTCATGGATTAAATTTACAAAGAAAGGTTAAAGGATTTTAACAGGTATAGCTTCCCTCCATGCCGATCATCTTTAAACAATAAGAATAAAATTGTAAAAAAAAAAAAAACACAACACACTGGCACATTTTAAAACAAGACAACATTTTAAAGACACTCATCCCAGATAAACCCCATATCATTTTTAGAGGGGCCCCAAACCTAAAGACAATGCATACTAAAAATTATACAAAAAAAAGCCACTACAAGCAATCCATCATTTTGATCAAAATCTAAAGGTTTTTTCAAATGCAACAGATGCATTGTCTGCAGATCCACTGACCAAAACAGCATATCAAAAACAACAAAATTCACCTCAAACAAAACGGGTATTACATACCCTAGCAAAGATTTAATATGTTGCACTACTAATAATGTATACCTATTGGAGTGCCCATGTGGCCTCCAGTATGTGGGTATGACCACACGATGCTTAAAAATAAGGTTAGCAGAACATTGTAGAAATATACTTATAGGCTACCTTAATCACTGTTTCAAAGCATTTTATTCAACACAACAAAGACCCTAAATTTTTTAAAATGTACTGGGATCCAAAGATGTAAATTACCCTGGAGGGGAGGTGACCTCAAAAAATTACTGGGACAAAAAGGAAATGCACTGGGTGTTCCTTTTAAAAACCGATGCACACACTGCACAAGCTGGGGGTCTGAGGCCTGCAAAGTGCCTGCAGAATAGCTCCGTGTCCAATTTGTTCCAATTTATGCGTAAATTGAACTGAGCCAGAGCCGCAGCCACCTTTGCAGAGAAGGAACGGTGGTAATCGTAAAAAGCGGTACCACCGTATTTGTGCCCCAGATACACCATCTTGTGCATGTATGCATCCAACTCTGCTCTTTTCTCAGGGTAAACTGAGCAGTAGACATCTCTATAAATCCCAAACCCCAGCACGAAATCAGGGATGGACAAATTCTTATTTAGCCGGGGGTCTCTAGCCCTTAGTACAACTGAAATATCCCATAATGCAAAGGTCCTGTTCTCTAGGACATCCTGGGAGGCAATGAGCAATGAGACCAGGTTAACGTCCTTGCCTTCCAGAATGTCCTTTTTAAGGTGAGATGGGACCATATGCGAGGGATTAACTGATTCTATAACCGCCATAGATTCAAAGGAATTACCGGGCATAGTATTAGAGAGAAGATGACTGGTGACCGTAGTATTGGTAGTGGACTGATTAGCACCACCAGCCTCCAATTTATCCAGCCTGTTGTCACTTATTGTACTAATAGATGCCATTAGATGCCATCATGGCTTGAAAAGCTGGTAATTGAGTCCCACTAGGGCCTTCCCCTGCCTCGGAGTTGTCGGTGGTAGTGTTCAGTAATCTAAACAACTCCGCCTTCCTAGCAGTAGCTGGGAAAGGGATGCAGTGTCTTCTGAGTTCAGCTGTGAGACGTGGGATGGTCCATGATTTAAGGGACGAAGGGCTATTCACATCTGTACCAGGAACAGGGGTACCAGGCCTAGCGGGTGTGCTGGGTAGTGAAAGTTCCTCAGGGATATCAGGAGTTTGTGACATAACTAATAAATATAAAAGTTGCTTAATCAGTCATATGTTATGAATTTGGGTGGGTACTGGTGTGGCTAGCTAAATACCAAGGGGTGAAACAATTATGCTTTTTTGAGGCCATCGAAAGTTGTGGCGGGGTGTTGGCCTCTTGGTGTCAAAGCATAAGAAAGAATGGGAGTGACAGGTGAGGCCCTCTCTTTGCAACAGTGCGAGGCGGCTAGCTATGATTTGGCCCGAGGGACGTAGTACCTCCGAGTATGGGGATGTTGGCCTTGCGGGACCACTAGCGTATGGATTAAGAACAGAAATTTTTTATACCTAATTGGGTCACGTAACCTAGGACCAGTACCACTCTGAACATAGAAAGTAATGGGTTCTGGCGTAGTACCTGATATGCGAGTCAGGCCGAGCTGTCAATGTAGAGGTAAACAGCAACTGTAATAGTATCAAGATGTTGACCTGTGGACATGAGATTTGATATTTAAAAGTCTGAATGTAAGGTAGTAGTTTTAGCCAGATCGTGGGCCCTAAGAACCAGAACCTACCCAACACTCTGCAGAGGGTAGATGTGGCAAACCTAGCCACTTGGACATTATTTTGTACTGTTTCTCTAAGGGTTGCCGGTATGGGGTTCCTATTGTATGCTGGTTCATGCTGTTGTCCTCTCTCGCCTTGACTATTGCAATCCCCTTCTCACCGGTCTTACATGTTCCCAGCTTGCACCGCTGCAATCTATAATGAATACGGCTGCGAGGCTTATTTTCCTGTCCGGTCGCACCTCCCACGCCTCCACGCTCTGTCAGTCCCTGCATTGGCTTCCAGTTAGATATAGGGCCCAATTCAAAATTCTGGCGCTTGCTTACAAATCCCTACATAATGCTGCTCCAACATACCTATCCTCCCTCATACACAAGTATGTCCCGACGAGACCCCTGCGCTCAGCCCAACATCTACTCCTATCCTCTGCCCGGATCCCCACCTCTGATGCTCGCCTTCAAGACTTCTCCAGGGCTGCACCTATTCTGTGGAACTCCCTTCCCTCCTCAACCAGACTTTCACCCAGCCTCCATTCCTTCAAAAAATCTTTGAAAACTCACTTCTTTATTAAAGCGTATCAATTAAACTGTCAGCAGGTTTCTCATCCCCCACCCAATGACTCCGTTCCTTCACCTGTCAAAAATGACCTACCAAGCATTCAATAAACCCTTCTCTAACAAACTATTTAATTCCCCTACTTTAACCCTTTGTGTCACTATACCCCACTCCCTCTAGCATGTAAGCTCATCGAGCAGGGCCCTCAACCCCCTCTGTTCCTGTACGTCAGTGGTCTGATCTCAATTATGTGTCTGTTAGTCCACCCATTGTACATCGCTACGGAATTTGTTGGCGCTATATAAATAATAAAATAATAATAAGTATGTTATAGCGTGTAATGTAATGCACTGTTCCTGATGTATTGCCTGCCTGGGCTATCTGCTGAACGCAGATAGCTGATTCCTTTCGTTTCACGAACGGCACCTTTGTGGGCCGTTCGGGAACCGAACATATCATTTAATAGCCCACACACTTAGAGGCGTGTGGCACCTATTAACCCATTGCAACAATGTTGCAATCGGTAATTAGAGGCTCTCCTGGGTGGCCGTCGTTCGACTACCGACCATGCGGCCGGCGGCCATCTTGGATCCTTTGTTCCCTCAGCGGTGTTTGGTCGTCGAGCGCGTGGAACTAAAAACGGCTACTCGACGGCGCGAACACCGCTGAACCTCCAGACCGTTCGGTATTTTATTCCCTTATCTGTAATCTTTGTTTTCAGGCTATGTGTTAATGAATGTGTTTTTCGTGCGGCGTTCGGTTGTTTTAGCTGGGATCTGAGCGGTAATCTCACGAATGATGCGCTCAGACCCCGGCTATCTACCGAACGTCCATTCGTTTAAATAACCCAGATATTCGTGGAGTTATTGAATTTAATATGAATTGTGAGTTCTGCTGCACGGAGGGATAATCCACTTAACGGTATATTCCAGTGGGAGGATCCCTCTCGTGCAGCAGTGCCTGCTGGGAGAAATGTCCTGTATTGTAGTCCCCTCAGGGAATGCCCCTGGGAGGGGACTCAGGAAACCCCTTGCATGGGGACTTGTATAAATTGTGGAGCTAAATTAAAAGACCTCAGTTGACTCCCAGGCTATGTGTCGTCTAGTTCTTGGGAAGGAAGGGTTACTGCAGTGCTGTTTGGATTATTGTATGCTGATTCCCTGAATTATCCTTTGTTGTTCCTGTTACCCAGCGGAGATATCGTGGATTATACTGCCTCTCTGCTACAGTAGATTTAAACGAAAAGAAGATGACGGGTTCCGTGCTTGTAAAAGCTACCGTCCAACGTATAATAACCTAAAAAGAGTAAATTACACACTTAACTAATTTAATATTTATCATTGGCCTTCAAAATTTGAATCATAATTAAATTCCAACCAACCTAGAAATAAATACAATTGACACAGGTGTCAGAAATCATAATTCCTAGTACAAACCCATGGTATGAACCTGTGGGAAAAGGTCAGGAAAATCAGGACACATCATCCTGGTCTAAACTTTTATATTTACTTTAGAAGAATTTTATAAGTGACTGTAATAACGTTTGTAACCAGTAGGGGCAAAATCCCCTGGAGTACTGGCTGAATTCGTGCTTATCCGTGAGTTTGTTGTAATCACCGAAAGAACTAGGTAGAGTGTTGAAACATACGAATAGATACATCCTAAGTGAAATTTGAATACCGAACAAAAAAAATTTATATGTATATAACCAAATGATAGCGTTCGTTAGATTAAGAAATGTGAAAACATGCGAGTAGATAAGGGAATTTAGCCGAACGGCATACTGTATGAAAAGGAAAAGAACCGAACGCTGGTTCAAACGAACGGGGCTCCGCCGTGTAAAGCTAGGAAGTTTGCGGCGGTTGCTTTACGGCAGGCCTTACTTACTTTTTTTTGCGGCGGCAAAGTAACGAACGGGCTGTGCGGACGCCGGCGATGGGAAGGAGAGCCAGGGAAGCCCGGACCAGGAGACCACGAAGAAAACAGGTAAGAAAATCCAAGATGGCGATCTGAACCGGAAGTAAAACGTTTCAGACTTGCCAGACCAGCAACGGCAAGGTGGGAGTGGATTGGCAGCCCTTTTAAAGAGAATTCAAGCCACAACTACAGGCCAAATTTATTTATATATATATATATATATATACACATACATATACATACATACACACACACACACATATACATATACACACACACACACACACACACACACACACATATATACATACATATACACACACACATACATACACCTCCCCCTCATGTATATAATCACACACAGTGTGTATACCACCAGGGAATGTATATAATCTCACACACACAGTGTGTATACCCAGACGTTGTGTTTTGTGCTAGTTGGCTAGGGTGGATATTTATATACTAGCTAGGCAGTGTGCTTATCAGGTTTGTTCAGTTTTCCTTATTCCACCACAATTATCTTATTTATATCATGGGACACGGCCACAGAGAGGGAACAACCGGAATATAACCACAAGACCAGCCATTTCACTCTCCAACCATCAATCTGGATCCATTCCATACAGAGTATAGAGCCAGGGCGGTATAATCATATTAGATCCCTAGTGTGTGCCAAGTAAGTATTTTAAAAAACAGTAAGATAAGGCAACAAAATACGTAATAATAATAATAATAATAATACTCTCCAGTTAGATAAACACAGTACATATAATACATCATCCAGTTAGATACAAACAGTACAGAATATTAGACTATTATATTAACAATAAATCTCCCAGTTAGATATATATTTAGCTCCCAGCCAGTTCACACGGTATATAAAATGGATAAAGCCACTAGATATTATTATTATTATTATAACAACTAGAAAAGCTACAATTTCTGGGAAATTGTGTGAAGTGTTCTTGCCTCCACCAGTAGTCTACATTTGGAGTGGGCGGAGTAACTGTGGAAAGGTTGGAGTGTGGTTCACTCACTCTACAGCAAGGGCAGAGAAGAACTTTCAAATCTTTCAAATCCCTCGAACATTCCACCAACTGCCAACAGGAACTAATAGATTCCAAATAGGGCAGAGAAGAGCTTTCAAATCTTGGACGTCATTGGACGGCGTGAGTTGCAAACAAATGGTCATATTGTGAAAACTATCAGGACTATGGCTTAGCCGTGGCAGCAGGGATAGCTGAACGTTTTGATATAAGATTTGTGTAGGTGGGTTTGAAAATGAGGGAGTGGTGGCAGTTTAGAAATCATGTCCTGATTTTTCAGCTTTTGCCAGCTCCCACTCTAGCTTTGAACATTCTGCCACTCATTCCTATGGGACCAATTTCGCCACAAGAACGGCGATATTCCGTGAACCATTCGGCGAAACGTTCCACAAAGTAATAGCAATCCAATCGGGAACAATCCGCACGTTTTGGTATATTACTGTCTATGTAATGTAAAAACTGTGGGAGGAGTTAAGGTGGTAAATTTGGCTATAATAAGAATATTATATATGTGAGATAACATTAAGTGGTCTTGCTATGCAAGAACACTTAATAATAATATATAATAAAGATTTAGCTCCCAGCCAGTCACACACAGTGTATAATAATAATAATATTATAATAATGATAAAGATTTAGCTCCCAGCCAGTTGCACACAGTGTATAATAATAAAGATTTAGCTCCCAGCCAGTCACACACAGTGAATAATAATATTATTATTATTCACTGTGTGTGACTGGCTGGGAGCTAAATCTTTATTTATTATTATCATCATCATCCCCTTAAGACCGGAGGGCGTACTATTACGCCCTATTTTAGACGGCTCTCAACGCCCCTGGGCGTAATAGTACGCCCTCCGGTCTTTCTTTACTTACCCGGTCACCGGCGATCGTGGTTGGGGGGACTCCCAGGGAGGACCTCACAATCACATGGCCGGGATAGCTGGCTGCTGCATTGCCAGCAGGGGTCTGCCATTATATATGTTCTGAGTATATATACACATATACATACAAACACACTGTCTAGGTATATTTTACTAATATATATATATATATATATATATATATATATATATATATATATATATATATATATATATATATATATATATATATATATATATATATATATATACCTGGCTAATCATGGCAGCATATACACATGGGTTAGCTCCTCCCCTACAGCCGATAGGACAGGAAAACCACCAAGGTTTTAAAAGGAGGCTCCATCCCTAAGGTCCTCAGTCTTTTTCCTGTCCTACAGCCCTTAGGACGTGAGCAATTTGCTCCCTTTACGTACGGACGTGTATGTTGTTTTATCTTCATTACTTTATTTGCTGTTTTACTGTAGTACATTATGCAGTTGTGCTTTTATGCTGTGATGCATTTAAGCTTTGATATCTTTAACCCCTTAAGGACCAAACTTCTGGAATAAAAGGGAATCATGACATGTCACACATGTCATGTGTCCTTAAGGGGTTAAACTAGTACATTATACAGCTGTACCTTATTTTTAAGATTGTTGTACATTATGCGGTTGTGCTTTTGCTAGGAAGCATTTAAGCTGTGTGGCATTTAAAACTGTTTCATTTAAATTTGCATTTAATTCTGTTGCATGTAATACCGCAAGTCATTGGAAACCGCAGTGCATTGGAAAACTGCAGTGCATTTGAAGACTGATATATTTTAAAAACTGTGTTATATTTTGGAAACTGTGTTAGATTTGAAAACTGTTACCTTTTTATACTTTGAGGCCTTTAGACTGTGGTGCCTTTAAACTTTGACCTTTTTGCACCTGGTTGCCTTTTAAACTTCCTTGCAGGCACTTTTTTAATCTATTTTGCTTCCCCCTCGGTCCCAGTGATTTATTCCCGGTTCCCTGGGTGTTTAGGGGCCATGTAGGCTTCAGACAGAGTCCTCTCCCTGGTCTCTAAACAGCAAACACACTCAGAATAGGCCCACATGTGTGCAGTTTGTGCCTTATTGGGCCTAATACAGATGACTTGCATTGTGGGAATACAAGTTGTGGCAGCCATCTTGGATAAGGGCAATTGCCAGAAAGTGCCTAAAATAAAGGGAAAATTACAGTAAACATACCACACTTATTGGGTAAGTATTTGCAGGGTCTCCAGACATGGATAAGTGCTGTCTTTAGCCTGTTTTAAAGCTGTTTCGCTGGTTTCTTATATAATTTAACAGTGCACATTTTTTCTTAATACTTTACCACAGGTAATATTTAGTTATTATTATTTGTCAGGTGTCTGTTTCTTCACCAGGATCTGGTTATGAGGAGAAAACAGTGGATGGAATCGGTTATGCACTGACTTCCTCCAGAAGGTTGTCGCTTCAGCATGACCTATCACTGTGCAGCCACATGACATGCGGGCAGGGCTTACAAAGTAAGTTCCAGAGGCCTTAGGGGTAAGAAAAGAGGCCAGGCTTTACCCTGTGGAGGAAGTTATTTCCAACCCCAGAACTACACCACCTAAGTTGCACACTTATGGATCATAGGTGGACGCAGACCTGTCCAAAATTTTACGCCTACCATTGCAGGAGGCCAGCCAGCTGTGACTTCCACTGCTGTTTCTACAAACATGAAATATGTGATTAAAGATCTAAAGGCTACTATGGAGAGAGATATTAAAAGCCAAGATTGAAGAGGCAGTCTGAAGTCTTCAGGTTACAACGGACTTCTTCACAGAAACTTCCCTAGATGTAACTAGGATATTCTCTGGATCAAATGGCTTTATCTATAGCAACTAAGAAAGCATTATGGTTCTGTTTCTGGGATGATGTCTCATCCTCCAAGTCTGCCCTCTACACCATTCTATTTGAAGGGGTGGTGCTGTTTGGGAAAACTTCTGATAATTCCATTGAAAAGGCGAATGAGGGCTGCAAGATATTGGTACCTTAGGATGGAAGTTCCAAGGATCCCAGCTCCTCATAGTCTGACCGGAGAACCTCCAGTGACCAGTATTTCTGAGATACATTGTGCTACCGGCCCTGCAGGGAATACTCCAGAGGTAACTCATGGCAGTTGGTAAACCTGCCTTTCAAGGTTCTAAGGGAGCTATAACGCAGTCGTTTTGCTCTTCAGCAATAAACATATCTCCTCCAGTACTAGGAGCCTCATTTTTCTGATCACACATACCTGGGCTTGTCATACTCTGGAGGCTTGAGTGGTATCCATGGTCCAGATTGATATAGACTGGAGTTTTTTCTTAACGGGCACAGGAGTCTCCATACCAACAGGAGTATTAAGACCAATGAATCAAAAGGTAAAACACTGAAGGAAGAAGCCTTCTAGACGAAGAGAAAAAAAAACAAAAAACTTTAGGTCCCAGAACAAGAGCAGTTCCAGGGACAAGTTTCGCCTCTCTTCTGGTGCTAAGAGGAAAAGCACATGTAAGCCTTCACTGGACTTAAGAGGGGCCAACAAGAGGCTGAATGTTAGAGTCTTCGGGATGGAGTCAATCAGATCCATATCTCAAGCAATCTGGAAGGATAATTTCCTTACCTCTATATATCTCAAGGATGCTTACTTTCAGTCCAATCTGCAGAGATCTTCAGCATTAGCTCAGAAGAGAACTTCCATGTTAGTGCCCTACCATTTGGCCTCAATGCGGCACCAAGGATCTTTCTATCTGCTTATAGTGTTATTGAGAGTCCAGAACTCCACCTGGTTCCATTATCTGGAGGATCTACCTCTGATAGCCTTAGACCCTCAGAAGGCAGGCACACATAGGTATATAGTTCTTTCATAACTCCTAAAGTTTGGCTGCTTGATGAATATCAAGAAAAGCAGTTTCAGACCAGCTCAGTGGTTGACATTCCTGAGTGGAAAATACTAGGCTCTGCTTTTCCCTATCTCGGGAACAGTTCCACAGATTGTAAAGGTTTTCTCTCCCAGTTTCTTCATTTCTGCTTGGTAACAGCAAGAAAATAGAGGCAACTACTAGGAATCCTGGCTTCCACCAGCAGACTTGTCAGATGGGCCCAATGGCATCTCTGGATTCCTTACAGATCCTTCCTATCTTGGTCTAACAAGAGAAAGATTATTGGAGCCAGCCACTTACTATGTCCCCATCAGTGGAGTTGCACCTTACCCTGGCAGCTGAAAGAGGGATTAGATCTGAGTTTCCAGTGAACAGAACCTCATTGGTCAATTATTAGCTCGAATTCCAGTTTTTATAAGATTGGTTACACAGTGTTTGGACCATGTTGCACAATATTTCCATTCATTTGTATGGAATTAAGAGTCATTTTCAAGACTCTTCTTCACTTCAGAGGCTTGCTGAAGAACGAGTGGGTCCAAATTTGCTCAAATATCAATGCAACTGTATCCTATATCTACCAAGATGGGTCTCACAGATACGTATTGATGGAATTCCAGCCCATAATGATCAGGGCACAGAAGAACAACCAGTGGCTCAGAATACCATGGCTGTTTGCTGGAGCCGAATAACTGTGGACAAGGTGGATTGGCAACCATGTCCTGACGTATCCTCGTGGTTGACGCAGATTGTCTGATACCCTACATAGATCTGATGGCCATTTCTTGGAACTATCAGGTCCAGAAGTATTTTTTACATGCTAGGACCAGAATGCTCAGGTTCAGGATACACTGGCTCAAATTTCGAATTTTAGTCTGATGTACATATTTTCCTGTTTTCGACCTTCTTAAAAAGGCAATGCAAAAGGTGACAGTGGAAGACCGTGTCGACTCTAATTCCTATGATGAATAAGATGATTCTGGAACCCCCAAGGGAAATTTCTGTACGTCCAGACCTATTACAAGGCCCCATGACACACCAGGATCCTCAAGTTCTGGTGTTGATGTGGGAGTCCATATTAGTATAGGCATCCCTGAGACGTTCATTGAGATCCTCTTACAATCCTATACAGGCTTTACTAAGCTTGACATGCTTTTGTCTGTTGGAATTACTCCTCGTTCAGGCCTTGAAAGGTTCTGTGTTATAACACTCTAGAGGAACACTTAGCTGCACTTTGCTTCATATAGGCATTGATTGAAATCATGCCTCCACTAAGTGTGGTGAAGCCAATATGTGACGTACCAATGGTCACACGGGCCCTGACTGAACCATTATTCGAACCTCTAGAAGGAGCTTCCATGGTGGTAGCACAGAAAGTGCTGGTGGCTGGTACCCCAGCAAGGAAAATGGGTGAACTCCAGGCTTAATCCTGTGAACCCCCTTTCACTACTTTTCAACAGGTATGGTCGTCTTGCATTTGGCACCTGAAGATCCTGCCTATGGTGAATGCTTATCTATGTCATTCTCTACCTGTACTGAAGGGTACCGATTGAGCATTGATGCCCCTGGTGCTTTGCTTCATGTAAGCAACAATTGAATTCAAGCCTCCGCTGAGGGTGTTGAAACCAATATGTGATGTACCACTGGTCTCACAGACTCTGACTGAACTTCTAGCAGGAGCTTCCATGATGTTAGCCCAGACGTTGCTGTTGCTGGTGACTGGTACCTCAGCAGGGTGAATGTGTGCACTTAGCTACACTTTGCTTCATATAGGCATTGATTGAAATCATGCCTCCACTGAGTGTGGTGAAGCCAATATGTGACGTACCACTGGTCTCACGGGCCCTGACTGAACCATTATTCAAACCTCTAGAAGGAGCTTCCATGGTGGTAGCACAGAAAGTGCTGGTGGCTTGTATCCCAGGAAGGGGAATGGGTGAACTCCAGGCTTGATCCTGTGTACCCCCATTCACTGAATTTCAACAGGATATGGTTGTCTTGCATGTAGCACCAGTGATCGTGCCTAAAGTGAGAGCCTTTCAATGCAGTTCTCTACCTGTAGCAAAGGATTTGGGGCATTCTCCACTAGTGCTGTTATAGCATATCGTGGACTTCCATGGCAATGGTCTCTGCTGAAGATTTGTAAAGTTGGCATTTGGATCTCTTTGAACTAGTTTGTCCTGCATTACATATTGGACATTGAAGCAATTAATGAGGCACAATTTGGACGTCACGTCCGTTCTCTACCTGTGCTGGAGGGTATCAGGGCACTCTCCTCTCATGCTGTTGCAGCATCATGGGTTGCCATGGCAATGGTTTCTGCTGGCACTTTTTGTAAGCTAGCATTTGAAACTCTTTAGACACGTTTGTCTGGCATTTCATACTGTTCGTTAAAACAGTCTATGATGCACAATTTGGTACTCAAGTACTTAACTCAGTTCATTCTTCTATCTATGTTGAATTATTCTGATAATTTGATTGGCTATTCTGTCCCTCCCTTTGTAAGCTTGGGTATTCCCCATGTGTATATGCTGCCATGATTAGCCAGGAAAGTGGAAAATTTATTCATACTTACCGTAATTTTCTTTTCCTGGCTATTATTCATGGCAGCATATACTTCCCTCCCATTAATGTCTCTATTTATGTACTGTAGAGCTTGTAAACTGACTGAGGACCTTAGGGATGGAGCCTCCTTTTAAAACCTTGGTGGTTTTCCTGTCCTATCGGCTGTAGGGGAGGAGCTAACCCATGTGTATATGCTGCCATGAATAATAGCCAGGAAAAGAAAATTACGGTAAGTATGAATAAATTTTCCACTATACATACATATACATATACACACACACACACACACACACACACACACATATATATTCTAACATATACATACACACACACACACACACAAGTAGACTGATACTGATATATATATATATATATAATTATTGTTATATAATATAAAAAAATATGTAAATGTTAAAAAATTTAATTAAAAAATATATAGATGTGTGTTATTTCGTTCTAACTGTATTGTGATATTACTATATATTTATATCAAAATACACGTAGAATGAAATAATATATATATCTATATACATAAATATATACGTATTTATCACTATATATAAATACAAATATTAAAAAAATTATATATATACATACATACATACATACATACATACACACACACACATTAAAGGACCACTCTAGGTCTGGGTGCCAGGTCCTTCTAGGGTTAACCCATTTTTTTTTATAAACATAGCAGTTTCAGAGAAACTGCTATGTTTATGAATGGGTTAAGCCTTCCCCCTAATCCTCTAGTGGCTATCTCATTGACAGCCACTAGAGGCGCTTGCGTGCTTCTCACTGTGATTTTCACAGTGAGAGCACGCCAGCGTCCATAGGAAAGCATTGTAAATGCTTTCCTATCATTTTGAAACTGAATCTTGTAGCGCAGCTTTGCATGGCGTCGTATTCAACCAGGAGGGGAGGAGGGAGGATGGGAGGCAGAGGCTCGGCCCAGCGCTGGAAAAAGGTAAGTTTAACCCCTTTTCCCCTTTCCAGAGCCGGGCGGGAGGGGGTCCCTGAGGGTGGGGGCACCCTCAGGGCACTATAGTGCCAGGAAAACGAGTATGTTTTCCTGGCACTATAGTGGTCCTTTAATTCTACCTATATATATTTATGTAATATTTTTACAGAATTAGGTATCTTAATTAATTACAATTAGCGGGACCTGCCTGACAACCCATGCCGAAAGTAAAGGGAATTTAATTTGCTAGCACTATATTTAACCCTATAACTTTCCAAGACACCATAAAACATGTACATGGGGGGTACTGTTCTACTCGGGAGACTTCGCTGAACACAAAACAGTAAAATGTATTACAACGATGATATCGCCAGTAAAAGTGACGTTTTTGGCATTTTTCCATGCACAAACAGCACTTACACGGACTATATTAATGCTGCGATACTTTTTACTGTTTTGAAACACAAATATTTGTGTTCAGCAAAGTTTTCCGAGTACAACAGTACCCCTCATGTACAGGTTTTATGGTGTTTTCAAAAGTTACAGCGTCAGATATAAGGCTTGTGTTTAATTTTTTTCACATTAAAATTCGCCAGATTGGTTACGTTGCCTTTGAGACCCTATGGTAGCCCAAGAATGAAAGTTACCCCTATGATGGCATACCATTTGCAATAGTAGACAACCCAAGGTATTGCAAACGGGTTATGTCCAGTCTTTTTTAGTAGCCACTTAGTCACAAACACTGGCCAAAATTGGCGGTTTTTGCATTTTTCCACACACAAATACTAACGCTAACTTTGGCCAGTGTTTGTGACCAAATGGCTACTAAAAAAGACTGGACATACCCCATTTGCAATACTTTGGGTTGTCCACTATTGCAAATGGTATGCCATTATGGGTGTAAATTTAATTCCTGGGCTACTATAAAGTCCCAAAGGCAACGTAACCAATCTGGCAAATTTCAATTTCAAATGTAACGTGCTATATTTGACCCTGTAACTTCCCAAAACACCATAAAACCTGTACATAGGGGGTACTGTTTTACATTGAGACTTTGCTGAATACAAATATGTGTATTTTATTGCAGTAAAAGCAAACAGTATTATGACCCTGACAGTTAAAATGTCATGTAGAACTAAAAAAAAAAAAAAAAAATATCTTATTTTCTCCAATTATTTTCAAATTAAATTATGTTTCATAGCTAAATATTTGATATTAAATGAAAGCCCTGTTTCCCCTGAACAAAATGATATATAATAAGGGTGGGTGCATTTACTATGAAAGGGGTGAATTACAGTTGGACAGACATGTAGCGCAAATGCCAGGTTCTGTTTACATTTTGTTTCGTTCACAACAGGTACATTTGGCTCCATCCTTAACCCCTTAAGGACTGGACTGTTTTTGCGATGTTGTACATTTGCGACCAGGAATATTTTTACACTTTTGTGGTGTTTGTGTTTGGCTGTAATTTTCCGCTTTCTCATTTACTGTTCCCATACAAATTATATATTGTTTTTTCAGGACAAAATGGGCTTTCTTTACATACCATTATTTATATAATCTCATGTATTTTAATTTAAAAAAAATACAAAAATCTGATGAAAAATTGAAAAAAATACATGTTTTTTGACTTTTACTTGAAAAATCTTTTACTCATCTACAAAAGCGAATGAAAAAAACTGCTAAATAGATTCAAAATTTTGTCCTGAGTTTAAAAATACCTAGTGTTTACGTGCTTTTTTGCTTTTTTTTGCATGTTATAGGGCTATAGGTACAAGTAGGATATTGCGGTTTCAAAACATACATTTTAAAATTTATCAATAGTGACATTGTAACACTATTATCTGTCATAAATCTCTGAATAACACCCCACATGTACATATTTTTTTTAAAGTAGACAACCCAGGGTATTCAATATGGGGTATGTCCAGTCTTTTTTTAGTAGCCAAAAAACACTGGCAAAGTAAGCATTCATATTTGTTTGTGTGTGAAAAAAGTAAAAAAACTAAATTGAACGCTAATTTTGGCCAGTGTTTGTGACCAAGTGGTTACTAAAAAGACTGGACATACCCCATTTGCAATACCTTGGGTTGTCTTCTTTTGCAAATGGTATGCCATCATGGGGGTAATTCTCATTCCTGGGCTACCATACGCTCTCAAAGGCAACGTAACCAACCTGGCCATTTTCAATGTAAAAATATTTGACCCATATATTTGACCTTGTAACTTTCAAAAATGCTATAAAACCTGTACATGGGGGGTACTGTTTTACTCGGGAGACATCGCTGAACACAAATATTAGTGTTTAAAAACTGGAAAGCGTATCACAACAATTATATCATCAGTAAAAGTGCTGTTTGTGTGTGAAAAATGCAAAAAAAGTAACTTTCACTGACAATATCATCGCTGTGATATGTTTTACTGTTGTGAATCACTAATATTTGTGTTCAGCGAAGTCTCCCGAGTAAAACAGTACCCCCCATGTACAGGTTTTAGGGTGTCGTAGAACGTTACAGGGTAAAATACAGTGCTAGCAAATTAAATTCTCTGGAATTTCGGCCTGGGTTGGCAGGCAGGTCCCTCAAATTGCAATCAATAAAATTACTGAATTATGTAAAATATTACATAAATACGCACGTAGAATTTAAATATATATGCATATTTATATATTTGAAGTCTACGTGTATATTTATATAATTATTTATGTAATTTTGTATATGGACGTATGTATATTTCTTATTATTTTTATTTATTTTTATATACATAGATATATATATAAATTCATTCTAAGTGTATTTTGATATAAATATATATATATTAATTTTAAAATACAGTTAGAATAAAATTTCATATAGCTATATAATTTTTTTTAAATTTTTTATTATTATTTAAAAAAAATTATTTAATTTAAATTACTTATTATTTATATTTTATAATAATATATATATACAATATATATAGTTATTATATATATTATATATATACGTGTGTAATTTAATTATAAGTGTATTTTTATATTAATATAAGTACATATTAATATAAAAATACACTTAGTATGGCATTATATATATGATATATAGACATATATTATATAGATATAATATATGTCTATATATCATATTTATACATATATAATTATTATTATTTTTTTTATTACCATTAACTTTAATTTTTTTTTTGATTTTACAGTTGCAGGGAGACTGCCTGTCAGCACAGACAGTCCCCCTGCAGGCAGACACATGGACACCTATTGTGACCATGTGATCGCTGTGTTAAGCGATCACATGGCCACAGGGGTCCTAATCTGCAGTGGGGAGACTGTCTGGGCTGCAGGCAGTCTCCCCACAACCGGAGGAACACTGATCGCCGCCGGGGGAACGACGGCGATCAGGTAAGTAGCCCCAGACCGTTTGGACGGTTCAGGACCGTCATCGGTCGGCAACGCAAAAATGCCGATGACGGTCCTGAACCGTCCTCGGTCCTTAAGGGGTTAAGGGGTAAATAATAATAAAGATTTAGCTCCCAGCCAGTCACACACAGTGAATAATAATAATAAAGATATAGCTCCCAGCCAGTCACACACAGTGTATAATAATAATAATAATGTATAATAAAGATTTTGCTCCCAGCCAGGCACACACAGTGTATAATAATAATAATAATAATAATAATAAAGATATAGCTCCCAGCCAGTCACACACAGTGAAGAATAATAATAATAATAAATAATAAAGATTTAGCTCCCAGCCAGGCACACACAGTGTATAATAATAATAATAATAATAATAATAATAATAATAATAAAGATTTAGCTCCCAGCCAGGCACACACAGTGTATAATAATAATAATAATAATAATAATAAAGATTTAGCTCCCAGCCAGTCACACACAGTGTATAATAATAATATAATAACGATGTATAATAATATAATAATAATAATGATATAATAATAATAATAATAAAGATTTAGCTCCCAGCCAGTCACACACAGTGTATAATAATATAATAACGATGTATAATAATAATAATAATAATATAATAATAATAACAGTGTATAATAATGATGTATAATAATAACAGTGTATAATAATAATAATAATATAATGATATATAATAACGGTGTATAATAATGTATAATATAATAATAATAATAATATAATAATAATGTATAATATAAATAGCTAATTGAGCTCCAGGGCTGTTACACACCTCAGTGCGCGCTCTCACAGTCTCCGCTACGTGCGCGTTCCCGCAGACACGTCACATTCCGAGGCTGGGCGGAGGTCGGGTCGTTTTAACCAATAGGAGGAGGGATTACATAGAGCAGCATGGCCTCCAGCCAATGGTAGTGCCCGACACAGGCAGCATCGCGCACAGCCTGGATGAATGAGTGGGTGTGACTGGTGCATGCACGGTCCAATCAGCAGCGAGCTCGGGTGTAGGCCCCGCCTCTTGCATGCGCTGTACTCACTGACCATATATAGGGAGGTGTGGAGAGACAGGGAAATACCATGTGAGCCATGCGGAGGGGGCGGCGGAAGTGACGATCCGGGAGATACCATGTGATGTTAAGGGGGAGCGCTCTGTCCTCCGTTTCCGGTTTGTCTGGGCCCGGACTCTATGGTAGCAGCACGTGTAGTCCTCCACCGGCGGTCCTGGGTCAGAGAGTCCGGTAAGTAACGGGTTAACCGGCTATTTATAATCTATTACCCGAGTATTAATACTCCCTGACCCCAATAACAGAGTATTAATACTCCCTGACCCCAGTAACAGGGTATTAATAC